AGCAACAGTATGAATTTCCAATATCCAGAAAATTTGGATACCAAAGGTCTGGGACCATCTGCAGTTTAGAAGACAGATTAACATACCTAGAAGTTCACTAGGTGTAAGACTGCTGTCCTCTGCCATGCAGATAAGCTCTCTGTCTTGGCATCATGCCAGTAACCGCTCTTCCATAATTTGTTTCTTCCAAAGAAGATTGTTAGAAAACTTCCTACTTTTTAATACCATGGAGGTTTCTTTCATTCATTTCACTGATCTAGGCTTTTGTAAAGTTTTATAAAAAATCTTTGACAGACAACAAAACACATGCAGTTTGTTGGCATTCTTTCCTGTTTCAAAACCACATAATAAGTTTTTCCACGCATTGATAAGCTAGATTTTAAAACTGCATTTTCTGGATATCTAGATAATCAACAACACAATGAATATAAACATTTTCTATAAATAGTTCACCATATGGCTATCATTCTTAACAGATGGTGTCTGTGTGTTCACTAAAATATACAAGTGCTATGCAAATTTTGCCCTGCAATCATTCAAAATTCTAAACAAGATTTTCTTACTTCAGTTTTATTAAGCTTAATCAAAGTCAAAACACGTAATTTTATCCCCTAGCTCTAACATGGGAAAAAATGCCACAACTATATAAACAAATGAATTTGCAAAAGGCAATACAGTTGAAAAGATTTTAATAAAGAGATGCTAGGTACAAGGTTTTCTCAATTCTAGGACAGTACTCTGCTGCTAATGATAGTTTTTGCCTACCCAAAATGCAGAACCACTTGTAGACAGCCCAGTAGTTTATCAGCAAGAATGCAGTTTGAAAAAATGAAAAAATCTGTAGTCCAAGGGATCTGAAGGTTTATATCTATTTTGCAGCAAATGTTCTCATATGCATTATAAAGCCATCATTTATACTAACACCAAGTAGGTGATGATTACTGCAATAGTAATGGCACCCTAGCTCTTCATCAACCATCATTAATAGTTGACTTACAGCTTTAGCAACAAAGCCTACAGATTTTAGCCAGTTTTAGTAAAAAAAACTTGCTCATTTTTTAGTTTCCTGAAAGCCAGTATATGACCATCTCCATGTTTTCAACTTTCAGAAGCTGCTGGGCAGTTCATCAAAACAACACTTGACCAAAAGTTGACAAGATACTTGGCTATACTGTTCCAACTTAAAACTGTTTAAGCTCATATCACTGTACAAACATTTTCTGGAAAGTTTGTCTTGAGCTACACTGGCTTATCTGTTGGAAATCAAATTCTAATTTTCAGTTTAGACATTTTTATAGCATTTTTATCCACTTGAACAAATTCTAATTTTAATTTTTTGTTACTATTTCTCACCTGACACACTTATGGTAAAAATAACACATTCCCATTCCCCTCTCAGTTATTAAGTTGTTAAGCTTTCTATTCTGAAGGTTCTGACTGTTGTTGGTTTTGCCAGTCATGAGTTCTTCTCTATCTGTTCCTATAGCTCTCAGCCTGCATCTGTAGCAGGATCTTCATTATTCCAACTAAATCACTACTTGTGCCTGCACAGACACCCGTGCTTAGTGAAACCTCCTTAAGTGTAAAGGAGGGAATCACAGCCATTCCTCTTCAGAACTGCAAACAACTGCAGTATTGGATAATGGCTCTACATGTTAAAAAATATCTCTCTTTTTCTCTTTATAGTGACAGGAGTATCTTTACATTATTGTAAAGTATTCAGTGCACCTGAAAGTCCTGCTCAACTGTGCAAGGCAGGTCACATCTCAAAGTGCAGCAAAATAATAATATCTTCTAACCATGTACAAGTTGGCAAGATATTCCTCTGAAAATTAGTTGTCATAAATTTAACTTTTCTATCAAGGAGAGTACATAAGCAAGAAGGATAATGGATGGTACTGTGCTCTGGAATTGTGCCCCAGTGTTGACAACACACCAGCTTTTTGCCTACTGCTAAGTACTTCTTGCTGATTTTCAACACACTGATTTCGCCAGACAATAACAATTGTAACTTTATGAGCAGGATACTAACTATAAGTCGAGATACGGGTAATTAAATAAAAATTGCTCTTCTTGATTTAATACATGTATTAGAGGTAAGGAACCCCCACTTGTTATTGGAGTAGCTATGGACGAACAAGTGAGTCCAAGACTTGAAAAGGCAGCATGGATCTCTGCAAGTATGTGGGATATTTTTTAAAACTTGTGTAAATCAAATTCATAAGTTAGTTGAATGTTAATGGTCTTATTACTAAAAGATACTGTTTCAAGTATAATAGAGAAAAACATTTTAATTTTTATTCTTGTAGTTTGAACTATATATATAATATATATATACATACATATTATTTATTTTTGAGTAATTAAAATCAGATGGGTTGAAGCTTGTTAAATTGAATAACCTTAGACCTTGCTAAATTAACGTTTTGTCAAATGCTTCATATTGATTCAATGTTGCTTTAAACTTTTTCTAAAGTTCCCTGATTTTCTCAAGTTTACCAGTTAAGTTTTTGTTGTTTTGATTCTTAAGGAGTATCTTGTTGGTATTCCTCCCTTGCATCTAACTCAGGGTATATACATAAATCCTGGTAAGCCCCTTTAAGGGACTCAGTGAGAGGATTCTGGAGCCTTACAACCAACACATCTTTAATTTGAAAAATTTCCTGGATACTTTTATTTTGAGGATCATAGGAATGCACAGATTCGATTCCCATCATTGTATGAAGCCAGCAATGAGTAGTAGACAAAAATTAATTTCCTTTTTAACCAGTCCTAATTTCCCCTAACCACCAACTAATTAATTTACCTAACACTTGCTGGCTCTGGGACAATGTTCTCATAACACCCTCTCACCTAACTCAGTCATTAACTAGGTTAGGGGAGCATTTCCCTTGTAAATGAGTCCCCTAAGCATTGTCACTTTTTTTTCCTTCAACACCACTGCGAACTGGTGAAAATATTTTTGCCTGCACAGACATAAAGTTTCAGGGAAAGCTTTAGCACACCTCAAAGGAGGGAGTAATTAAAATATTATCATGCTCCACTTTATAAACTGATGGTTCTGAAACAGCTCAAATACTGCCCATGGCCCCATCTCAGGAGGGAAAACAGTAGAAACAGAACAGGTCCACCATAAACGGGAGGTCAAAATAATCACACACTCATTCAGATTGAACATTAAGTCTTGAGCACAAGTAAGGCTGAAATTTATGCAGTTCTAGGAAGCATTATGAAGAATCACCTAAAGAAGTGGCTCACCTGAGTCTTACTGCAAAGCTTGCTTGTGTAGCCACAAGAACAGCTAGAATTATCCTAGTAAGCTGGAAAATATGAGCAGACACACTTTAGGTATGATAAAGTCAGATAAAGACAAGTTGTGGTGTTGATGCTGGCTGCTACCGCAGATACTGGATCAGCTATTCTATTTTTTATGATCACAGTGGATCTAAACAATGTGTCGGTTTGTAGAGTGATTGAAATAATAGATCCATACTCTAGTCATTAATTATTGCATAATGTCACTTCTAGATGAGAACTTCCTTACGATGTAGAAGGGCAATGAATGAAGACATTTTCAAATTAGGAAAGATGACAACAATTAGGGAATTAATTAAATTTTAAAAACTAGATGATACAACAAGGATGTGAAATACAGAGAAGGACAGAGGAGGCATATACATGATTTCTTTTTAATGTCTATAAAGAGATCAAAAGAAAAATAAAATGCATTTTAAAGGAACACTGAACATGAAATGTCCACACAAAATGTTTCCTCTGAAAATCATAGCAGCCCTCTGCTCCCTTTGGCTCACATTGATGACAATAACATGAAGCAAAGTTCAAGAACCAGTTTTAGTCCAAGAACCTCTTATAAAAGGACAGTCTACTTAATTTTTAATGAAGGACATGAGATAGCAATCAATAGGAGAACCATCAAAATAAAAAAATTGGTGCTGTATTTTTTCTGACATTTAACACAAAAAGTCTGTGAAGTTTCAAATTCTGTCTGGTAACAGGTAACAAAGGACATCAAGCAGGGAACTGAATAACAAATTTTTGCTGCTATGGTTTTTTGTGCAATTAAACTTTTTGAAAAGAACATTTTGGATAGGGAAAGAAGTAATCTTATCCGAATTCAGATGGAAGACGCAAAACAGACTATAAAAGTACTTTATATATGAAATGAAGGAAGAATTAAATATTTAAGACTAACTGCTAGTGATAAATTGAGAAAATGAAACAAAAACCGAAAACCTTTATGACATGCAAATTCACACATTTTTGAAATTGTCACTCTAGTTTCTAGATAGAAGAACAGTCAGTTCAAATGTTTATTAGGTATAATCAGAGGATTCAGAATTAAGAAGAGAATGTCTTAGTTTAGTGTGCAACATGTAAGTTTTCCAGTTTTCACAAGAGAATAATATTAACAGAAAACAAACAACAAACTCACCACACAACCCTCTCAAAATAATTCCACCTAAATTTTTCTGAATATAAGAAATTGCATTTTCTGAATTAAGCAGTTACATTTTACAAGAGAAAAGGCAATAAAATATGAGACTAAGTTTGATTAATTGAAAACTATTAAGGAAACACTTTCTATTTCTAGGTACACTTGTCATGCCCCCAACTGAATTTAAGATACTTTGAAACCTGAGTAAACATAGCTTAAATTCTGTGCTGAAATCCCCCTGAGCAGTACAGATTTGCAAAATTACTAATTTTTTTCCAAAGCATTATTTAAGTACAATGTCAACATATATTCATATTCTTCTGTCTCAGACAGAAAGAACAAATTATACACCTCAAAAAAGGAATTGAAAGACATTTGAGTATGGATCAAATACTACAGAAAAAATGTTACATTTTAAAAATATGTTTTAAAAAAAATTGCAGATTTTGCTTTACAAATTTCACCACTAAAATCTTTGTGTATTCACAAATACAATGTCAAAAATAAAAAAGGAAAATGTGATGATTTGCCAAAATCCTGTTACCTGTGTGTCAGCAGCACCCTGAAGGCCATCTGATTCAGTCCCAAGTAACCTGGCAGCAAGCTCGACCAATCCCAGTTCCATTCAGTAATGGATGACTGTTGATACATGGAAAGAAGCTAGTTAGTTATTAATCAGTATTAATATTATCAGTACACTAAAGCTTCAGCTGTGATTTACTGACCAAAGAGGGTGGTCTAGAACGAGGACTTAAAAAGATGATATCAATCATGTCCACAGAAGGTTTTTATTCCAATAAAATGGCAATTAATTAATTAGGGACATAGCAACTATTTATAAAAAGTTTTCTGAACCTTTATTCTTCCAACTGTTGATGGCATTCTGATCAACTGTTCTGTCTGAGAGCTTTACTCTTTGTCCAAAAAACAAAATAGTTGGCTACTTTTTATATAGCGGCAATTTGCATTTTCTGCTCTCAGCAAGAAGTTATGTTATGAAAAATTTGGTATAGCTGGAATACAAGAAGCAACCTGTATCATAATTAGAGTGATTTAATGCTGTATTATAAACAGCATTAAATCTAGAAAATATGAACAAATATAACTCCATATTGCTTATTAATAAACAAAAGCAATCTACATCATCAGAAGGCAGACAAAAGACCATACACAACATTCTTATTTTAAAAAAACAGTAAATCCTGTTGCATAATATTACTTTTCATTGTCAGCAATGGTGAAGTAGTGACTATAATTTAATCTTCTAGGGAGGAAATAAGTACGAAGTTACTGCTGTAACACGGAAATAGCACTGACTAGTAAAAAAGTGTTTAAGGAAGTCGAAACAATGGAAATAAACCTAAATAACAGTAAAGTATAACTTGGAGTGCATCTTTTTCTTCTTACAGACAGCACTTGGTTCCTCTGGGAGAGCAGAATCACTACAATTGCTCCTATTCCTTCCATCTATATTTTATCACTTTCCTTCTCCTTACTTAATTTACTCCCTGTACTTCAGCTTTGCCATGCATGTTAAAGTAAAGTAGAAAAACAAAGGTGAAATATAGAGTATGAAGGGCAAATAAGGGTAACAAGAAAAAATAAAATACTGAGAAAGCAGAAAGTGAATGAATAAGGAAAGGTTCCTTGCCAGTGCTCTGGCATCTTCTACAGGCACTGGCAATAATTTTCATTGGAAACCAGACACTCAGCTATACTGATCACTGTTTAATAAACGGACAGCCCCACACCACTAAATAAATGTACAATTTAATGGTAAAGGAAACTAAACTATTTAATAACATCATTAAGTTTAGAAATAGAATCAGAGAAGAGAATTATAGAACGATTGAGGTTTGAAAGATCACTGTGTTCCAACCCCTTGCCATGGGCAAGGCACACCTTTCACTAGACCAGGTGTCCCAGAGCTCTGCCCAGCCTAGCCTGAAATACCTTAAATAGATGGGACAACCACAGCTTCTCTGGGCAACCTGTTCCAGTGCCTCGCCACCCTCACAGGAAATAACTTCTCTCTAATATCTAATTTAAAGCTACTCTTTGTCAGTTCCAATCCATTCTCTTTTGTCCTATCACTACATGCTCATGCAAAATGTCCTTCTCCATCTTTCTTGTAAGCTTTCTTCAAGTACTGCAAGACTGCAATTAGGTCACCCCAAAGCTGTCTCTTTTCCAGACTAAACAACTGCAATTCTCTTGGCCTCTTCTTCATAGGAGAAGTGCTCCATCCCTCTAGTGATTTTGGTGTTCTGCATCTGAACTCCAACAGCTCCATGTCCTTCCTGCACTGGGAACCCCTGAGCTGGATGCAGGACTGCAGGTGGGGTCTCACCAGAATGGAGTAGAGGAACAGAATCAACTCCCTTGACCTGCTGGCCATGCTTCTTTTGATGCAGCCCATCACACTGTTGGCTTTCTGGGCTGAGTATGAGGAAGAACTTCCTTACTGCCAGGCTGACTGAGCACTGGAACAGACTCCCCAGAGAGGTTGTTGAGCCTCCCTCTGGAGATAGCACTGGAGATATTCAAGAACCATCTGGACACAATTCTCTGCCCATGTGTTCTAGGATGACCTGCTTGAGCAGGGAGGCTGGACCAGACGACACACTGGTCCCTTCCAACCTCACCCATCCTGTGGTTCTGTGATTCTTGATAGGAAGGTGCCTTTCAACGCAAGCTATTCTATGATTCTATTTATTAAAAGATTCTATAAAGCATGTTTCTCTGGAGTGAAAAGCCTTGAGAAGCCATGTGGTATGGGTATCCTTTTTAAGGATATTAATACTTTTATTGCAACATGACAATGATTAAGCATTCATTAAACAAGTAAGAAAAACAAGTATAGAACTGGCAGAGATTTAGGCAACTAGGATCTCTTTTTTTAACTGTTCCATTATTAGGAAACTAAATTCTATAAGAAAACTGTAATCTTTTACATATTAGAAGCATGACTTAAAGAAAAGCAGATAAAATGATGACTTTTTGTGTGTGTGTATGTGTTTTAACACACTTAGTCTCACTGTTCCGTAAAATCTCTGTATTTCTAAAGCATTCTTTACTTGACTGTTCAACATATCTGTGAAAGACCCATAAGGAAGATTATATAAGTGAACTTAGAATTCTGACATGATTTTTCAAAGGACTAAGACTAACCATATGTACTATTGCACAGATGTAATAAATATCATTGCTGCTATGGACTTTCCCTCATTATACTGAGCACAGAAAATGTAAGGAAATGCAAATTGCTCTTACATGCAATAATTTCAATCAAAGAAAAGGCGGGTAATGGCTTTTTGAACAATGTGATATTGTAGAGGGTACCCTCATTACACTCCCAAGAAATAATATTACTTTCTGCTTCATTAAATGTGAATACACATAAATAAGTCAATTTTCATACATTTAAACTTTGTCATTGCCATGATCATAGTAATACCAACAAGTAAAAATTGTACTATAACCAAGGTTTCAGATTTTCACAAACCTGATTGAATACTTTCGCATAAGATTGTCTGTACACCTGGAAAGGGTTGAAGACAGGTTGCTCTTCTCTGCCTTTCAGCATCAAAGGCAGACATTGACTCGAGGTAACACCATCTTCAGAAGAATTCTCACAAGACAGCTGCTCTTTCAAATATTCCTTTTGGAAGAAAAAGCAACCACAGAATAGTACAGGCCACCTAAACTTCTAAGTGAAATTTGCCTACATTTCAAGCACAAATTTGAAAGATAGAAGTTCCTTTTAATTTAGTGGGGGGGGGGAATTAACGATCTCTTAAAAAATAGAAATGTTCTTAAGAGTATCACTATTTTACAATGAACAAGAAATAACCTCAAAAAGTATGCACCCAACTTGAGCAAAACAGAACAATCTAACCTTTTACTTTGAAATTGTTGTCAAATTAGACGTGTAAGTTCTCATTGTATATATATATGCTAGGTTTATGGAGAAGAGAACAACAAATGTTTTTCATGTCTTTTGAATTAAACTTTGGAAAACAGTCAACAATTACTATATAACTGTAAATCAATTCTTTGATTAACATGTTCTTACCATTTTTTTTAAAGAGAGGAAATAAATAATCTCCCACTCCTCAAAGCTATTTTTAGCTACTTAAACATTCAAGAACTAGAAGCAGTATGATTTGCATTGCAATTTTAGAAACTATACTGTAACAGATGCATTATTATTTTGGACACCAACTTTTCTGTTTTCACTTCTTTGACTCCTGTGTAAATAAATCATCATTGCAGGCCAATAAAGTGTTTTGATTAAACAGAAGCATTTTATGAAGAACTAGACAATGAAACATTTATACATTCATTTGATAGAATAACTACTGTGATTAAACAGTTTACTGTTATTAAAATGAAGACCATTACATAGAGCAAGTACCTCTTATTTGCAGTACTACTGAGATGGAATAACAGGCAAATTACCTGCCAAGGCATCCTGCGCCTCTTAGTAGGTCTTTCTAGAGGGAGAATTTAATAATCTCTTTAAACTTGCCCAACTATGGCCTAACCTGAAGGGCACAAATTCAGTTTCAGACCACAGCTGAAACTGCAGCTGTTTCTCCCTTGTGTTGGCACTAACATATGTTGAGAAATCAGCCAGAGGAAAAAAAAGGTTTCATCCAGATAAACAAGCCACATGATTTCTAGTACCAGTAAAAAGGCCGGGGGGGTGGGGAGGGGGGGTGGGGGGGTGGGCAGGGACTATGAGTGGAAAAGCACAAGGCCAAGAGAAAGAGAAGGACTGTCTCTGCTGTTGCAATCAAATGTCATGTCTGACCAAAAGAATCGCAAAATTATCTTAGTGTATGGAAAAAATCTCAACGAACCAAAAGAAGAAAAACAAATTGAGCTTTTTTTCTGCTTAAAACAATATCACAAAGCACCTGTGAAAACATACCCTCTTTTATCTATTTTTACTCACCTTTTCATTTCAAAAATATCTGGATTTTTATTTCCCCATTCATTCATTTACTACTTTATGCCATAATAAAGATTTCAGAGCCACGTTGAAGGAGGTTATTTAAAAGCTATTTATGTACATCTACCAAATTTTCATTAATATACTGCCTTCCATGTACACATTTTTACAAAATCTCTAGACTAAAGGAACCTAGACCTCTAGATGTAACAGAGTCAGCAGAAGCAGATTGTGTTGCTTTTTCAGAAGCAATACTGGAAATAGCTGTCCATGTGTTGCCAGATGAAGAACTATTTGCTCAGTTGGTGGGAAAACACAATGCTTATTTTGCAAAACCAGTAGTTGTACAGAACGGTACAATACGTATTCTGTAGGATCATGTTAAACATTAACAAAATAATGAACCATCCTGGTTATGCCATCTCAGCTCCCGTTTTGGAAAGCAACACCACTTCAGTGAATGGGTAACTTTGAGGTCTGGGACCACCGGAGACCACCAGAGGGACCCCCGGGACAGACGAACGCATGTGCAAAGCATGGGGGGGCGGGGGGGGAGAAAGACATGTTATGGGTCTCCAGGAACTGATGATTATATGCATGGTTCATTCGGGGAAAATCATTGAATATGTATGAAAAATAAAGTATATAAAGCAGGAGCTTTTCTGTACCCAACATACACAATTCTGGTGGAGATATCCCTATGGCATCTGGTGCTGTAATAAAGAATGTCTTCTTCTTAGTGTACAGTAGTGTTAGGAAGGAGATTTTGACCAATTTCAGTAACACCTGGTTGCCAGGGTTAGAAAATTCAATTGGTATACAGCTGATTTCAGTAAAGTTATTTTTCTGTCTTTAATAGAATACTGTGGATTTGGTTTTGATGAAGAAATTATTCAACAATAGTAAATATATTACACTAAGATGTCCTTTAGTATAGTAAATATTGTAGGCTTTGAAAGGGTCATGTTTCAAAAATGTGAAAATACGAAATCACATCAGTAAACATGTGAACAATACCCTCAGTACAGGGCATCAAACCAAGTATAGAGAATATTAGTGAGCCTGACAGCTCAGAAGAGTTATCTCTTTGGTTGTCATTACTAAAAAATATTTTTAAAATTACTATTATTTCTGGCAAACACATGAAGGGCTGTAAGCTGTTTTAAGTACTATAGAAACTGTTTAAAATTTTTAAGAAATCATATATCTATTTTCGAATGCAGCTTCCAATAATCCATATCCTTTTTCACCTGCTTTTCAAAGGAATATTACTAAGAACAACAACTTTCTGTCTCATAGTTTTGTTTTTACACATAATTACTAAGCAGTGTAGCATAAAGATCTCTAAACTTATTTTAACAACACAATTCCTTGACATTCCAAAGAGTCTTTAAATAAAAGAATGGATCTTTGAATAGACAATCAAATCTATTTCTTGATAAGCAGGCACATAAAACATAATGTAGATTTTGAAAAACAACACTGAAAAGTGCATAATCATAATACCATGCTAAGCATTAAAATGTTTTGTAGTGGTTTCAAAGGCAATTGCAAATATAGTTAAATCCTTCTGTAACTCAAGCTGATCAGTATTTCTCTTCTTCTTCTTCTTTTTTAAAACAATATAGTTTTTCCCACTGAGAAATGTTCTATTTTTATAAAAGGGTCTTACTAGCTGCAGAAATTCAAGAAGAGACACCTGGGATGTGGAAAGTCAGGCTGAAGTCCCTTTTCCCCCTAATTCTCTTAGCCTCATACCTCCTATTGGAGCTGTTCCACTTTGTATAAATAACCAAATACTCACAGGAGTTGGATTTTAGATCAGGGTCTCCAAAACCCAGCATGTGCATTTTATTCCTTCAGCTATTTTTGACCCTAAAAGTTACAGAATGCATTTTTACCACTATTTCTACGTGGCAAAACAACTCCAACAGGGGAAAAATAAGGAGTTCCATGCTGATAGCTAATGGTATGGAGGTTTGGGGAATTAGCTCAGATATGGGAGTTGCAGATTCAATTCCCTGGTATAAACCAGGAAGTATAAAGATTTGAGCATGCATATGCTGTCCCCTAGGTAACTGTCCAAGCACTGGTCTACATGCTATTTTCGGAGGTCTTTTCCACACTCCTTTATACATAAGTGTAATCTTGAATGTTCTCCAGGTGAAGAAGTTTTGTTTATTACAGTAATAATTTTCACTTCACTTCCTAAACCAGTTAATTGTTCTGGAAATTGAACTTGAAAAGATTCTGTACTGTACTAATGTAAGGTTGCCATCTCTACATATCTGCTTACATTGCTTCTGATGCTTCCAAAGGCATATTCATAAAGGTTGTTTTTAAGCCTATACTTAGGAACTAAACAGTTGGATTCTATTTTCAGAAGCACAGTGTGAGTATTAAGGTGCTCTCTATGGCCTTCCTACAGGCATAGCTCTCCAAGTCAGGGTTTTCTGCTACCAGGTTTTTCAGAAGAATATTCCTGGTCTCTGCCTATATTTGCATTAATTTGTATTTTATTATAAACACTTCTGAACACTTGCAAGAGTCTTAACAGTACCTACTTATGCATTCAAGAAATTTAGTAATCAAAGCTAAACCCAGAACTTTCTAAATTAAGTTGTGCTACTGTACAATTCAAACAAACATATGTGTATTTCAGTGAATAAAATCAGAATGCTTTTGGTAACTTGAGGCAAATTAGAACAGCCTTAGAAAGAATACAATTATTCTTTTACATTGCCAAAATTCCATATGCAGCAAATAAATCTGAATTTATATCTTGCAATTTTAAAAGCACTTCGGCTGAACAGAATTGTCTAAATTGAGTAAGATTTCATTTAATTCCTCAGTACAGCCGCAGGCATTGCTTGTTTGCTTAAATCAAGATAGTTAATTAACCAAGTGTAATTTTACCTTTGTAACAGTCAATTCTTCAACATACTTCCTTGTTTTTTTTTTTTTTTTTTTTTTTACTTTGCTCAGACTCCTAAAAAGAATCTATGGTCTACAACATGAAACTTATGAACCACACTACCTACCGTGTAAGTACCTAAATAAAATCTACAGTGTTTCCTAGAACATAATCTTTTCTGTAGAAATGCACAAAAGCCTCAACTGAATGGATTCTATCAAAATACAATATAGGATTTTGTATTGATTTTAAGAACTATTATCATCTCCTTGACAAACCCTTAGCTGCCAGCAGATGTTGCCCCAGGCCAGTACACACCTAATTGGCCATTTCCCTACCTCATTGAGTCGGATGATGTGATAAATTTGCCTCAGGTACTCACTACCACCTGGTTTGTGGCAGATATCCAGGACCATCATGTTTATATTATGCTCAGTGAATCCAAGTGCAATACCTCCTTCCTCTAATGTTGCACCTTTACCTGTGACTGAGGCACTAGAAGATAAAAAAGATACAGTCTTAAGTTAAATTAATAAAGATCAAACTATTAATATGAACTCAGCTAGAACTACATGTTCAAAAAATCCTGGAAGTAATTGACTTAGACATGTTGTTTTACATATATATCTCACATAATACGTCTTAAATAACAGTATTATACTAATTTTAATCACCTTAATTGGAAAGATGAACACATAAAACACCCTTTAAGGATACAGAAGTAGCAAATATTTTTGTTTCCTCTAGAGAAGTATCTTTGGTACTAAAAATAGCATTTATATTTGATCTCTTGTGCATTTTTCTTTGCCTGTCACAGCACATATTAAGCCTAATTAACAGATCAGAAAGGTAGCCATTACCCTAAGTATAGGTTAGAAGTTTTAAATTGAAGTAGTTTTCTTTCCACTGGTAAGTGGTTAACCATTTAAGAGGTACCTGTTTGCCACTTGTTGCATTTTTTGCCCTATACTGTTCCTCGGGGCTTTTTTTTGTATTTGTGTAAAACTTCTACCAATGAAAATCTGAAAGTGACATTCCCAAATGCCTCCACAATTGTGCATTCAAAGCTCTGATCATTATCAGACTCTGCATATAGCCACAAGTTACTATCCTAGTATTGCTACCAATGAAGTCTAAGAAAGAAGAAATACTAAAATTTTCCTCAAATGCAGCACAGGTATTTGACATGCATGTGTCAAGAACTCAAAAGATTAACAAGAATATATTGTCCTTTCTACAGATACTGTAGGATTAATTTAAAATAAACCAAAGAAACATACTCAATTAATTAAATAATCAGTATTGTATTTGTTTAGAAGTAAAACAAAAACCAAAACATAAAAAAAAAAAAAAAATCCCAAAAACCTGAAAACAAAACCACTGTGGTTGCAGCTTGCTGTTGGAGGTGTGCCATGGTTATAAAGCCAGTCCTACTGAAAGTTGCTGTTTGACCTACAGGCTCTCTGAAATGCTGCACAGCTGCTGGACATTAAAGCTGATATTGCTTCCACATGCAGTTTCAGAATGTCCAACAGAGCAAATAGTTTCAAAATATATACTATAATTTTGTTCTTTGCTGAATGTAAGTAAGTGATAGTATGTTATTATGGCGTACTTTACAGAAAAGCTTCAAAGAAATTGATCTTTAAATTAAAGCACACTTAAGGCTGATATTTGATGCCACATACAGATACAACCTGAATTTTTTGTCAAAATTCTTAGCAACTAACATTGAAAAAGCTAAGGACCTCTGACAAAGGAATGTATCAGTGCCAGCACCCAAATTGTATTCTTTACTACCCGTTACTGCGCAGGTGAAGCAGATGATTGGATTCAGGCAGCACTATGATTAATGACTTCCTTTCTGGATTTGGGACTGCCTATCAATCATGTCATTAGCAAGAATGTGCCCTGAGAGAGGCAGACCTCAGCCAAGGAATAACTGCATTCATCTTAATCTGTATATGCACCCAGCCAGCAAGGTCAGGGTCACCATGATGAAAAACAATAATCTTCAATTCGACAAATTACTTTGCAAAGACAGACGTTTCTTTTCTTCCCAGGATGTGTGTTTTTTAGAATCTAACGTGATTGTTTACAGCTCTAGTAGTACTACTATAAAGTAAAGGTTATTTTAATGAATAGTAATACTTTCAGGCAGTACACAAGACAGGCAAAGATCCTTTGCTGTTTTCTGAACCTTTCAATGAAGGCTATAATTTTTGAAATATTCTTTAAAATTAAGTGAATATATATTATTTAGACTTTTTATGTAAATAGCAATCCTGATAATAATAACGTAACAAAAAATCAAGCAAGAATTTTACTTTCAAAAACCCACTACACTCCAAAAATGTTTTTATGGCTGTGTAAATAAATTTTTGAATAAATAAATTTTTGAAATTTATAGGGTTTTTTTCCTTCATGTATCTACTAGAAGTCTATAAATATTTATAAATATGTATACACATATGCACATGCATCCAGCTAAATCAGAAAATAATTTGATTACTATATGATTATTATAGCACTAATATAGTACATAGTATATAATTACAATATAGTAATTTCATTCATGAAAATCATAAAACTCCTCTTGAAAGATTGCTTTTAATTTAGTAATTATGTGACCGCTACTTACTTTAATTCAATATTTGAATTTCAGCTCTAATATATTAGTTTAGTAATTTGCATTTATAATAACATTTATCTCTAGATTTCATATCTCAGGTATTTATAAACTGGATGTTTTTTCCCATAGATATTTACTCATAATATTTGAATGAACAGTGGAAAAACAACATTCATATTAGATTTCTATTGCAGAAATGCCACTGAAGTCAGGGGAGTCAACCTCATAATTGCATCAAATAACTGCTGACTTGGAGAGTAGGCAATGTATTCTTCGTTCTCCTAAGCTTAAATTGCCAGGCCTAGTCACAAGCTAGTTCTCTCTTTGGTTGACACTGCAGATGTACAGAAACATTTTCCTGTCTTTACTTTCAACAATCTGATACCTAACATGTAACACAGTATTTTTGTGGTATTTTACAAAAGAAAATACAGTAGTGTATTTATTGACTTAAAATGCTCAGTTTCTGAAGATGTGAAAATTAACTAAAATTTTAGTTTTTAAAGGTTATCCACAATATTCTCTTCCTATATTTGTATTTTTAAGAAGTACTTATTCTCTCAGTGACATTAGAAATTATATTATGGGACCATTGTGTTAAGTATCAATTTATAAATTATTATTATGCTTATTTATTCTATAATGCCATCAGTCACTGGCATCTGGCTTCAATCTTTTAATTATTTGATTATATCTTATAAATTAGAATTAAATGGAAATGCAAAAATAACAAAGGTCAGTGTCAATGAGTGTGTGGCATTATTACTGCTTACTGCTACCCACATTAACTGACTACTCGTAGAAACAAGAAACTGTCCCTTAAAGCACTGCATGAAAACCTCTTCAGTGGTATCATTAATTCCAACCTACAATCACTGTATCCTTTGTTTACAGGGACAAATCCTGACATGACAGCAATAACTGCAACCTTCAAGAATACTCATTGAAAAAAACAGCAATCTTACTTTCAGCAGTTACAATTTAATCCAGTAAGTCATGTTATTCCAATCAATCTAATATTGAGAAGTTGATGAATGGTATTTTTACAGAATGACACATGACTGCAACATTAAAACTGACTGGACTACGAACACACTGACAAGTACACAACTCCTTGAAAAATCACTGTAAAGATCTTAATGTCAAATCTGAAGGAAAAATTGGTATTTTCTCAGAAAGGCACAGCAGGATATTATTCTTGTCCTGTTTTGATATACCCTATTTGCCTAAGGGTTTGATATGTTTTAGAATAAAGTATGCTTACTTTTTATTTACAGATGAACACTGAAAGCTTCTCACAGCTTGTTGTAATTTAATCACCACAGTAAAATTAAATTATAAATATATTTAGTACCTGTTCACATTTTGAAAGATATAACAATGGACTTGTTCATATTTTGGCTCATCAAGATAACATGAAATCTTGTAGTACTATGAACACACTGTTCTGATGAAACAACCACATTTTAGTGTTTCAGCAATTAAGTTTAAAAAAACATGGTATATCAACAGTAAGGACTAATCTGTTCTATGTAAGATCACTGCTCATCTCTTTTCCTTAAAACTGAGCAGTAGCCATAAACATGTCAATAATCCAGTAAAATAAAGAGCAAGTAATAGCATTTTACACATACTGTGTTCTTACCAGTCTATGCTCAATTTTCTTGCCTTTAGCAACTGGCTTTCAATCCAGTTTGGTCTTTGCTGCTCAATGCTTTGTATGATCTTCTGGGTCACTTGCTTAGGACCACTTTTCTGTTTTCCCATAATACTTTCTAAGCACACACGAACTAAACTGAGTTTTTCTTTGCTCCATCTGTCAAGTGTTGCACCTGTTAAAAATTCTGCAGTATTTCCATCCTCAAATATCCGACATATAATTACAATCAAGTTCCAGACAAGCAGACCAGCTTTCTTCAATTCAGCAAAGTTTCTTGACATTTTTCTCTCAGCCAGAAAAAAGAAGTATTTAATTGGGGGAGGCAAACATGCAATCACTGTAGGTAACTTGCTGATTACAATAGATACTGCTTGAGCTGCAAGCCTTGTGAAGCCTTAAAAATAGAAAGAAAAGATGATATTATTAACATTAATAGTATAGCTCTAACAGCTTCTGAATGTTGTATAATAATTTCAAACTTTCTTTTGTGCTGAAAATGGGTAAAAAGCTTAAGTACTCAACACTGTAGTTCCAATTGTGTTATGCTTTCTGCACATAAACACCATGAATTAAAACAATTGCATGAATTAAAACCAGAAAATTCAAAGTTCAGACAGTGACTCTCTTAACAATTAGTCCTGCTGTACACAATTATTACAGGATTCATGAGAAAGACAGTACTCAGGTATTCTGAATGGTAGAAAGTTGTCTTCAAAATTGTAGTGTTTTTTCAATTTCACAGCTGAAGCATTGTGCTAAGTGTATCAGAATATTACATACATTTATAATCTCTAGTTTCTTATCCCTTTCTATGATCAAAATGACAAAACTTCAGGTTATCATCTTTCATATAAGCATCTACACTAGAAAACACTGCATTTTAAAGACCTTAGATAATAAAAGTAGCTATAAAGGCAACTACAGAGAAATTGTGCTGTGCAAAACTCAAGACATATATAAAATTAAAAATATAGCAAAATGTGTCAAGATTTAAAAAAGAACCAATCTCCAAACAATTCAAGAAAACTCTGTCATTGGACCTGCATTCCAAATGTTTTTCTTTTATTAAAAGAAGAAACCATATCTGTTCTAGATATCACACATACAAATTTAAATTGTCTTGAAGCCTGGAGTCAGTTTGCCTATCAGTTTACACATAGCAATTAGTCTAAGATAGCGATACAAATGTTTTAGTGCTTTTTTTAAATTCAAGCATAAATTGCTTTGTTGTAAATTTGGGGTGAATGACAGTCCTGAATAAAAAGATGATAATGAAAAGGAAAGCTGTTTACAGCCATTGAGACCTAAGTATAGGCATTATTCTTCACGTTGCTTTGAATCCCATCTGGCTACTGCCAGATGCTAGAAACATCTCCAGTACTACTATTTTCAATATTACAATACTGATTATTTTCAAAACCTTGTTTGTATATGTAAACCTCAGGAAAGAATAACTGAAATTTAATGGAAAGTATTGAAAACACCCCAACCACCACAGGAGGTTTGGAAATAGTTTGTTCATTGTAAAGCTACAGCACTTAAAAAATTTGCCCAGTTTAGGAGTAATGGAGCAAAGGATTTAAAAGTTCTTATGAGAAACTTTCAGGATGTATTGTAATATATATAAATATTATGTATAAATTTCACCTACATTTCCCAGATTCTTTTCTCTTCATTTCCCGAGGAGTGTAATTCCATTCCTTTGGAACAGTTTTAAGTAAACCTTCAGGAACTATTTGCTTGTGTTGGTATGTTCCATAGTTTTCTGTCGCCTCCCACGAATGCATCAAAGAAATTATCTGTTTCACTATACCCTTCACTGAATTAATCAAAGTCAACTTCAAGCATCTGATAACTTCTGGCTCTGACTCTCCACAACTGGAAACTTCAGAAGGAAGAAATATTAACTATTCAGTAAAGTGTTGTAAATCTCTTTCAGAAAGTGTTTTCAGAATTCTTATAAAAAAAAATTAACATTATGTCGTAACAAGTTAGACCTATTGGTCTGTTACAAATTAAGAAAGAGTATAATGCAAAACATATGGCATCCTGGTGCCATCTTAATACAGTTCTAACAAAAAGAATAAATTTATTTTGTTCATTCTCATTTCTCCACAGACATATTTATAAAAATTCTATTTAAGGTGTTCAATGTCTTCCTTTTTATATAGAAAACATTTAAATACTTTTTAGGCATCAATGAGGCAAACAGATATACCTTTTTTTTCTACTTTTTTGTCTTGAAATTATTAATGAAGTTGCATTTATTAGATACCCAAACTGCTATACCAAAGACAGTAAAGGAAAAGAAAGGTATTTCAGAAACAAAAATACATACAAATAATGGTCATCAAGAGAAACACAGCATGGCATCAGAAATTGCATGTTCAAAACACACCATCCTAAACACAGTTATTGACATTACAAGAAGTATCAATCTTCTCCACATTCTTAATACCACAGCAAATGGCAGTTTCTCCATTGTCATGGAGCTGCAATTGTCAGGCAGAGTCTTGGAGAGCATTTCAGAGAGATGTTTTGACATGTTAGATATTTAGATCCTTTGCTCATACTTTTGCCTCCCTCTACTTTTTGCTGATCTAATCATGCTCTTTCTGGAAGCTTCCATGCATCACTTCTCTGTTTTTCTTCCTCTTACCTGTTAAACTTCTACTTTTTGCAATCCCATTTTTCTCTGAGGAGTATCTGAGCACTTTTATCATAGTTTTCTATTTTGTGATGCTCATAATTCTATTTCCCCTCCTGCCTTTTCCCATTTTAATCCTCTTCTTTTGAGCTTTTAATCCATAATGTACAATATCACCCTTCTAAACCTCACCTCTCTTTTTGGTTGAATATTGTTTTGCCTTGGGGGTATAATTAGTTGTTCTAATAGTGAGGCCAGCTCTCTCCCTCAATAGAAAATTAAGAGGCTGAGTGCCTGTTGACAGTAGAGGCTAAATGCTTATCAGATTATTTCTCCCTTAGTATGAGAAGAAGTCTTCCCTTCTCTTTTTCCACTCTTCTTCCATGCTTCCGTACTTTTAAACTGTGGAAAAAATCTGGAGCAGTTGAATGCAAAGAGATGAAGAATCTCTACTACTAAAGACTTACAAAAACATTCTGCAGCCAGTCTGCTGGTAAGACAAACAATTTACGTCACTGGACTCCTGGTCAACAACGCTACTCTGGAACCTCTGCATTCTTCAAAATTTTAACCATTCCTACCATAGCCTGACTGCACAAAACCCTTCAAAACCACTATAATTTTGAAGTAAGCTAGCATACTTTCACCTGATTTATTATGGCAAAAATAATACTACATGTCTGAAAATGAGCAACATTTAACATCAGATTTGAAATGCTTATTAATAAATTAATAAATGAATAAAAACCTGTCATATTGTATAAGCAGTTCCACAGCAGCTCTTTTTCCATGTAGGACTCAAAAGCAATGCCAAGAGATTTCGGCGACAAAGTGCAGTAAGACAATACTGTGAAGATTGTTTCAATCAGAGTAGGGCTTTTGTTATTTTCCTGTCCCAAGAGAGAACTTTGTTCATCACAATTTAATGCTTGATTACCTTCAAAATAAACAAAAACATGATTTTAATAATTTCTAAGTAATTTAAAGTCTCAGTAATGGATAGTATTATTCAAAACAAACTTCTAAGTGTATCTAAATAATATTTCAAACAATAACACAGATACTGAAATCTGATCTTTTTCTGTCTAATGACAGTTGACTGTCTCCCTGAATTATATGTAGCCAATAAAAAAAGAAACTTAAGCATGTTTTCAAACTATGGAATATGCCTACTTAATTAAAAATTAAATTGAAATAGATTGTAATTCAAAATTTATTATTTACTGAAGATTAATCTGTAGATTAAGATCTAAACTACAGAATCACAGTCAAAAATCTAATACTGCTTAACTCCTCTTTCTTATATAATAGTCATATGAAACAATAAAATCATATTTAGATATAAAAAAACTAAGAAAATTAGCAGCTCCATATTCCCCAAAGTGTGCTGGTTTTGTTTTTCAGTGTAAGTTGAAATTCAGAATAAAACAGTTCTACATAAAAAATTCTCAGCCCTGCTAAGCTATAGATTTTAAAGACAAGTAGATATTATCGTAGAGTTAAAAGAGAACTTCTTGCAAATACTTACAAATTTCTGACAATCATTGTAACACACTGTCCCACATATAACATATAAGGATGTGTTTAAAACTCCAGGAATCAATGCAATTCAATGACTTTGACTTGTGCTAAAGTGGAAGACCTGAGCTTCCCACCTGTTTGTGAAATATGCTTCTAATTGTGAGAACCAGAGCCATAACCTGTTAAATACTCTTAATTTAAATTTCTAGTTTGCAAAAACAGTGGTTTCTGTAAAAAGTATTTAAATAAAATTATACTATAAAATGTCATTGTTTTCTGCTAGTTTAGTTGTCTTTCCCTTTAGCAGCCTGTGGAGGATAAAGATGGCAGTCTTCAAAATCTACCATAATGGAAAATCATTGCTTTCAACCCATCTTTGAATGACTTGAGAAGTACAAAAAAATCTCATTTTACTCTCTTCTGAATTCCTACAACCTAATTAATCTATTACTGTAAATCATTCAATCTAGGTAGCAACCTTAGCAGAAACAGAGGATGTAGAAAGCTGAAAAACATGATCACTGATTTCATACCCAACAATATGTGGATTTTTTTCCCCAAGGCAGCAGACAGATCAGCAATAAGACAGTTTTTAAATTGGCTTTATTTTTCCTATGAGTTGAATGAGCTGACATATATTGTTTTCAATTCCAGATGCTTCTAAGTGAAGAATCAAATGGATTCCACTTGTTTACTCACAGCTTTTTCTTGCCTTAGATTTTTTCTTTTATATTTATTAGCTCACCTGTCATAACATTAAATAGTCATCTCAGTTTGAACTCCAATGCAGCCTTCTTGTTAATTATTACATAGTACAGAATTAATATGATAGATATTATACATACTGCCCTGTGATGCTTCCCTCTATACATTTCTATTTTTGTCGCTGACTGCATTTGTATAGCAAAAGCTGATTTGTGAAGGGAACCTAAAGCTCCCGTAGGTAGCTCAAAGGAGATGCTTCTATATTATCTTAGCAAGCCTTACCATTCATACATAAATGTGGCTATGCATTTATCTAGATACCTGCTAAAATAAAAAAATTAGCTGTTTGTTATTTCCATATAGCATGATGTTCTATATGCATAGATACCCAAAAGATACCAAAACATATTAGAATACCACCCTTTTTAATGAGTATCTCTATAAGATACATATCTCTATGTATCTATTGAATAACAGCTATGCCCTAAACATTCACAATGAATCATTCTTCCTATGACAAAATAATGCACAATCTCTTGGGATACTACCATGTATTTGAAAGCATAACTTCAGAAAGGCAGACTTGCAAGTGCAATTACCCACATTTCTTTCTTACCGATAGAAATACCACCCAGTAATTTGCCAACATTATCACTCATCTAGCAGTCGTCTAGTCATAAAATGAATCTTGTTGAATTCAGAAAATCCTCTCTCTAGACCTCACTCTCCCCAGTCAATCCATACATGACAGCCAAGATACAAATAGTTATGCTGTCTTTTTTGACCAAAAGAGATAGTCAAAACTCAAATTCATATATGCTGTTTCACTCAGGAAGATGAATTGAAGATGGAACATATTATTTCTAATACTGTTCTTTAATTAGCAAGGAGCATGAAATTTTTGCTTTCCTTATTGAATTTAAAGGCTTATTTAAACCACATCAACTAATGAGGATATAAAGACTGCAAAAAGGATATACTTTATTTGTTTATAGAGTCAAATACTTCAGCAGTTTGTCTGCAGTACACTACATCCTCAGTGCTGCTTCTGTCACTGACTTTTTTTTCCGTTCATTCACTGTATCTGACCTGGTAGATCATGCTACTTTTCTATCACAGTTGCTCATCTCCAATAACAGCTAAAATCTATTGTAACTTTGAGCATGGCTTCATTTTGGCAGAAAGTGTATTATTTTAGTTTTAAATTCCAAGGAGAAATTTTACATTATAGATTCAGGGAGGAGTCACAGAATACTCTTGAGTTGGAAGGGACCCACAAGGGTCATCAAGTCCAAATGGCCAATATGGGGATTGAACCCACAACATTGTTGCTAACAGCACTGTGTTCTAACCAGCCAAGATCAGTAATATGATCTCAGGATCATATTACTCCTATCCTGAATAAAACCTAGATCTTAAAACTAAATTACCTACCAATTTAATACATTCCAAATAATAATAAGCCCTATATTAGCTGCTCCCTCTGAATCAAATAAATCCTAAATTTATGACAAGTATAAAGCTCAACATGGCAAAAAAGCTTTAACAATGTTTATAACATCTGCCCATAAATTATTAACATATCAGCAAACTACTTCTGTAGATATACATTATATGCCATCAGTGCCACAGCATTTATTTTCATTCAACTCAATTTAGAATTTTTTCTCCTTCAACAATTTATTTTCAACTCCATGAGAAGAAGCTTCCATTAATGCATTTCTGAGTTAGTAACTTCTGTAGAATCTACCTTAAGACCAATGGAAAAAACCCATTACTGTCAGAATACCTCCAGTAATGATTTTATGGGATAGCATGCAGCATGACATTCTGACTGCCAAAATTTTATGAGGCAATACTGAATGTAGTCCTATGGCCACATTAGCTCATTTGTGTTCCTAAATGTATTGGGACACTTACCTTCTTAAAACTTACACAGTCTAGACCTCTACTGTAGCAAGAAGTTCCTATCAGAACTTACTAAGTCTTTGGAAAGCTATCCATATGACCATATGTCACAGACACCAAGTCTATCCACACATGTATCAGACACTATCTTCACACACTGTCAAGAAAAGTTAAGGTATTCACAGTAGGGGTCCCCTACAGTTCAAATAGAAAATCCTATTTAGGTTTTTGGAAACTCCATGTTTTCTCTATCTTATCACTGGAAAATCACCAAATGGAATAGGATATCTGCATTAAGGTCCCTTTTTTACTTATTTTCCAGAAGTGTATCACTTCAATACATCTTTCACTGGTTATGCAGGTACAGAATCCAATAAGATTTTCAGGAGGTGTCTCTTTTAAAGTAATCTTCTAATTAACCATAAGGCTACCATGACACAGACTGCTATCATGAAGAGGCTAAGAAAACTTTCAGAGGTACCCACAAACCTAATATTGGATGATCCACAAATACTGGGAGGACAGATTCATTTTTGCACAAAGATACAAATTACTCTAAGTTTTGTGACCAACACTTGCAAGACTACTTTTCCCAAAATGGTGTATAGTTAAGCCATGGGACTAGGATGGTTGCTAGTTTTTTCACTTATGTGATAGACCATGACAGGATTATTAAAACCAAGGAGTCATTAGAAGAAAGTATAATGAAGTACAAGACAGTACAATGAAAGTATGAGAAAAAGGAATGACCCTCAAGAACTTGAAATAAAAGTGTCAAATGCTACAGCTTTTAAAAATGGCAGCTGTGATGGAGTTGGTAATCCATGTAAGGCATGTACATTTTCTTCTGTAATAACTTATTACTGCCACTAATAGTTCAGTCTCATAAATTAGGTCAATTGGTGAAGTTACCACTTTTCACTGTACTTTTAGGGTAAACCACAAAAGATAAGTGCTATTTACTCTTATGTGTCTAAAATGTAATTAAGTTTGATTAAAATTAATTAATATTTAAAAGTAACCTTAAAATGACACATTATACATTGTGGCAACCAGAGAACTGTTTCAAAGAGAGCAAAGAATTGGAGTGGGGGAACAAAATTCCAGTTCTACTAATACATCTCCAAGTTCTCTTCCCAGAAAATGGGTAACAAAAAATCAGTCCTAGAAAACTCTTCATTATCTATTAGTGTTTAGAAAGTTGTCTAATTGTCGTGGTTTGACACGGAAAGAGAATTTTTCCGGAAGGAAGAGGTCAATTTGGATATTGACCAATTGAAGGTGGGCACGCCTCTGAGAACACAGAGGGGTTAAAAGCAGAATTCCCAGGGGAACTGGCTCTCTTTGGTTCCGGTCAGCGTGCAGTGCAGGACTCTCCCCTGCCCGGCTGTGGCTGGGTGGGGAGGGGGAGGCCCATGGCCTGACAGAGGTAGGGCAAAGGGTGGAGGGACTGGAACCCCCTGCAAGTGGAAGGGTGGAGAAATCTGGGATTTCTCCGTTCCCCACCCAGAGCCTCTTGGCAGTGGCAGCTTGTCAGCAGTTCACCTTGAGGAAGGAGAAGAGCAAGTGAGGGGGGGGACAAGGAGTGGCTTTTGGCTGGACTTTTTCCATGGTAGCCACCGACTGAATAAATTTTCTCCTCCAAGAGAAACTTTATTTTAGGAGGATGCCAGTGAGCCAGAGACCTGCTTCAGCTGGGAAAAGACAGAAGTGGAGCAAACAGAGGAAAGTTAGGAGGTTTGTGGTGGTGCCCCCTGTCTTCAGAGAAGGAGAAGAGAAGAAGATCTCTGTTCTTGGACCTTCGGCCCCAGGGGGAAAATGGGGGGGTCTGTGGTCCCAAAAAATGAAAAACTGAACTGTTGTTTCTTTTCCTCCTCTTGGCGGGGCATCCTTGAAAGGAAAAATCCTAAAAGCAGTCTGTCCATCCATGCATTGGTGGTGAGAGCACTGTGCATGGAAAGGAGAAGGGTCACCACAGCAAACTTTTTTCTCCGGGCGGTGCCATGTGTGACATGGAAACACAGGATGTGGAGCTGTGTTTCTTGGGGGGTCTGTGGCACAGGAGAGACTCCTGTTCCCTCAATGGGCTGAGTATCGATTGTCTGGAGGGTGGAAACCTGATTGGGGTCCAGATTGTGTCTCACTGTGGTTTGTTGGATTTGGGTGGTGGGAGGAGGAATGCTTTGCAAGGTTTTCATTTTGATCTTTGTGTGTGTTTTTTTTTTCCTTCCTTTCTTTCTTTTATAGTAGTAGCTTAATAAAGTTTTTTTCCCGTTATTAAGCTTGGGCCTGCTTTGCTCTGTTCTCAATTGCATTTCACAGCATTCAACTGAGAGATTGCATTTTCATGGGGGCACTGGCATTGTGCCAGTGTCAAACCATGACAGTAATGGTGCACCACACAATTATATTTTCTTGGTGGAAGCTTTCCCTCCCCCATCCTTCTTATGTGTGCAAGCTAATTGACCTCTTTTTGAAGCAAATCACATTTATTTGGGTCCAATTTCAGATTTGCAGCCTTAGACTTAATACAGAATATTTGTAAATGTTACTATAAAGTCATATTTCAAAATTTTAGTGGGACCAAGTACATAATCTAAGATGATATGTACAGACTAAACAATACTATCTCCTAGTAGTATTTCAAATATGTATTGTGCAAGCCAAAAACATTAGGTGAAACTGCCAACAGCTTGGTCTTGCTGTGAAAGAAGATTTCTTACAGTTTATCTCTGCATGCCAATATTCACTTTAAGGTTGTTTGCAGAAAGACAAATTAAATTTCTGTAACAACTTGAGTCTCAAGTTTTTATGGTAATGAATAATATTCTTTTGAAGATTAAAAAGCAACATAGTGCATTTGTTGACAATTTACCAGTGACAATTTCTTAGTGACCACTGTCACTAATTCTGCTGTTCAAAAGTGGCCAGGTGTCTACTGTCTGATGGGATCCCCTCTGACAAATATTAATACTGTGTTGGGTCAGAGCAATCCAATAAAGCTATTGCTGTTTGCCTTATTGTGCAAAGAACAACTCCTGATTCCTGGAAATAATGATTATCAAAATAGAAGTCACAGACTGTTCCACTGGCATGATGTGTATTTAGTACAAATCTAGCAGAAATGCTCAGAATTCACTTACATCCTTCACAGTTTCATGTCAGCATTTGCTGGATTCAGCTACTTATTTTATACAGGCACCACTTCCTTTTTTCCTCTATTATTTGTTGCTTATCAAAATAATCCACTTCTACTTCACATCCATGAAAGGCAGTATTGGTTAAAACAATGTGCCAAGTAAATTGCAAAATAGTTTATTTTGACAGAAAATTAACACAGTAGCAGCAACCTTCACTATTCCTCTCTGAAAAGTCATAACACAGACCTTAGAGCCTTTACATACTCAAGAACGTCTTGAACAAAGTCACTGGATGTTGGACCTATAGAAAAAAACTCTAGGATTATATGACATTGTAATTTAAAAAACCTCAGTTATTTAGACTCGTAGCTTGTTACAGAGGTCAAATACACAAATCAAAATTTTCAACTATTTTTTTTCAAAATTGCCTCTATACTGTAGCCATGTGCACAATAAATGGTTGAGTTCTGGGAATTGTGATTCATTATCTTTAGTATTTTTTGACACAATATAAATATAAAGATCATATTTCCATATTTTAATTTTATATATATTTCTTACATCATAATTCACAAAAAAATTACAAAACTGCACTTTTTCCTGTCCAGATATTATATAATTACACTTTATATTATATTATATTATATTATATTATATTATATTATATTATATTATATTATATTATATTATAATTGTTATTATATTAATTATATATATAATTTTCCTGTCTAGTTAGTATATAATTATATACATGGATATATACAAATATGATATCCTTCTTGTAACATTTAGCAACATGAATCATGCATACATAGCCTCTCTACAAATACTCTTTCTACTAAAAAATCTTTGGCATTCCCAGCAGTACTCTTTGCTATGATGGGGAATTACATTCCTTCTGAACCTCCCATGGTACAACCATGAGAACAATGGGACTACAATGAAATGTAATGTATTTGAATGATGTCTACTTTGAGCATCCCAAAGCATTAAAACAATACAGGAAAATTCATCAGTATCTAAGATTTTTTGCCTTCTGGCTGGTTTTTAAAAGGAAATGACTGAATGCAAAATATGTAAAAAGCTCTTCCTTCTTAAAAAATTCTTATGTAATTGAATACAGGGCAAATTGCTCAAAAACTATGGTACACTTAGCTGTACAGGAGAAGGAATAAAGAATACATATTTTTTGTCATTAGACAATTAACCCCATTGAGATTAATTTAGATTATATGGATCATCACAGATATTGACTTTATCTAAACTGGAAGTTTATTCATTCCAATATTGAAGTTACATGAATAAAGCCAGTGTAAATAACACATTTTGTAATTCAAAGTCACGTAGATTTCCCTAAAGCTTAAGAGGTTGGTCAGTCAATAGACTAATACATTCTGTCACTTATTACCTGTAATAATGTAAACAGATAGTAAAACTCAATACTGGATTACACTAGGGTAAGGCTATGACCCTGATCAAACATTTGTCAGCCTTTGTAAAAGATGACATGTGTTTGAGTAGGCAAGCATATGCACTGCAGGTCTCAATAAGATGTGTGACAGCAATAGAAGATGTACTCCTGACAAATATTAGACCATTTCAAAATGACAGAACTCAATCATGTTTTAGATAGATAGATAGATAGATAGATAGATAGATAGATAGATAGATAGAAAATATAAATATCTTAAATATTTTGTGGATGTAATAGTTATTTTGATAAACAGGAAGAATTTGTTTGCCAAAAAAATGAAGAAACCAAGACTCTCATATTCCTGCACAATTAAGTCAAAGAGGTGATTCTACCATTAGCTATTCAACAATATGATCATTTGATCTGCAAACTACTAATGGAAAGATTTGATAAAGTTTGTTGCTTCAAACTGAATACCATCAGAATTCAAATAAAAAATTGTAGAAATATCCTTTTATTTATTCTACTTTCAAAATAGCATTAATGACTTAACAAGCAGAATCATATATATGTAATTCTAGAATGCCTACAGCGACAAGCATAAAAATAATATCAACAAAATATCTAAGAAGCTTTCCACTGTTCAAATATAATTTTGAGAGTGTTCTTTTAGACTACTGATCCACAATTTTAAAAATCTGTGTACAGGAGTTTCAGTGTCAAAACTCCATAAATTTCAAATACATTTTGACTCTTTTGCATTAATGATAGCAGCCTATTTTATCAAATTGCAGTTTGCTTTGAAATTATTAATACACTGGTTGAGTGTAAATTCTCACTTAAAAAGCGATGCTTTTTCTATCTTTTTACTCATTCAATACATGTCTTGTTGGTAAGTAAATGGGTACTTAACCCTCAAAATGGTTGTCAGCCTTCCTTCAGCATTTAAGTAGTTAAAAATTAATTTGTATTTCTCACTGATATTCTTATATGGATTGACAAGATCAATACTTACTTGAGCTTCTCAGCAAAATTTTCACTAAGAGACAATCATGGTGTAACAAAGTTTCCAAAAGCAAGTTCAAATTACAGTATGGCTGGGATAAAAGCAGCTTCAGAAGACCTTGGGCTGCCATTTCTCTGGCTGATGGAGTCCTTTCAAAATATAAGACAAAGATAGAAAGAATAATATAGTTAATTTATCTATGAAATTAATATCTTTTAATTGCAGATGTAACACTAAATCCCTTAAGTGTGAACTCTTCCTGGATTACTCTGAAAATGCTTACATGCTTCCTTACTTTAAGGCAGCTCAGAGAAAGACTTGCACTTAATTTCAACTAGTTAAAAGCAAACTGACATTTGTTACTCTGCCACAGTTAAATCTGATAGAAAACAACTGAGTTTATCTCTTTCATGGAACAGTATTTATTTTGCTCTACAATGAAAAAAGGAGGGATTTTTCCCCCTACAGTTGAGTAAATGTAAGGGTATAATTTTTTAGTTTATTATTGCAGTAATTGTTGAGTAAGAGATCTGAAGTGTCTGTCCTTGATGAAGTGTATAAAGTGCTTAAGTAAAAGGCAGTGAAAATGCTCAGAGGGGGTGCAAAATACCAGTGTAAGTTGAGCAATTATTATGTGTCCTGAAAAATCCACAAGAAATATTAGATTAGTTGGTTTAGTGCTTTACCAGCAGGGAGAAGTAAAAAAGCACAGTACAAATCCATTAGCTTTTAAAAAGATTGCAGTTTATTTTCTTTTTGTGACTTCCATGTTCTGCAAAAATTGAGATTTCCAAATATTATTCCAGGGCTTACTCCAAACACAGCCAGTGACCCAACACCAATCACTGAACTCACATTACAGTTAAATGAAAAACAAACAAACAAATCTGTCTTGCCAAATGTTTATCACCTATGGTATTTAGCATTTTCTTGAAGCATTTTTAAAAACAAATTTTCAAAATTGGGTTTTCAATTTTTTTTTCTTTAATGTGTAAGTTTTTATCAGTTTGAAGATTCTTTTGAAATGAAATTTCAACAGATGTTTAGCCACTGTATTATTTTTTGGCTACAAGTTTATACAACAATTGATAACATTGAAACTTTACACACCTCATAAACTTTTATGCACATGTACATTTTACATGCCTGATTTTAAGGACTTCATATGCATTGACTGGGCAGATATAAATATTACCTGCTAGTATGCAAAAAACAGCTTCAGTTAAAACCTTCTTCATAGGGAGGTTTTCAATCTGACATTTTTCTGTCAGACTAGGGAAGTCTTTATATGCCTCTGCTCAAACAATTTATGTGCCATTTACATATGACTTTTGGGACAGAATTAAAATGGGCTCATATAATAGTTCTAACAGAGGGGTACCTCTCCATTAAGTTGCATGTTTTCACAAGTTCTGACTTAGCAAAGTGTGCCACCTCCCAAATATGCTTGAATGTACGCATGAAAAAAATGGATTAACTGCACAAGTATTTCACTGTTGAATCAAAGCTGCTATTTATACAATATACTCAACACAAACCTACAAGTTCTGGAAAAGAAAATGTCAGCTGATATACTCCTCTAGTGTAGTCCCTCATATATCTGTGTTTCCATTACCAGAAAAAGCAGTATGCCACATATCTTGCTGGGCAGCCTTGAAGTCACCTAAGGAAACCATAGCACCATCTTCCAGCAGGGGCCTTACATCCCACTATTACGACAAAGCTCCACTGTAATAGTAATTTTAGTAAAGGAACCTCAGCCTTGCTCTTTTAACACTAAAACAAATACCTCTAACTTCATAAGCAATGTCTGTGCCAGGAAACCTCATGTATAGCTTTTGTGATTTCCATCTGGTACTTTATATGTTTTGCTGACAGTGTAGCACTAACTCTAACTCTACAATTATATTTGAATATTAGCACATACTGGATTCAAGCAGTATGTATCAAAAATATACACACATATACATTTAAATCTTGATAGAACTTGCAGTCAAAGTATATTCTCCATATTTAGAATACATATGGCATTAAGACATTAGGATTTTGCATTATTAAAATAATTATCCTAATTTCTGTGTGTTCACGATTAGTCCTATATATATAATCTAATGCAAATATAATCTATATATAATCTAATAAGTAGTTAGTAATTAAAGTTAAAATTTAAACAGTTACTATATTCAGGCCAGTTTAATTTTTTTTCTCTTCTTTAAATGTCATGTTATCCTATCTAATAGGGTCATTAATTGCCTTCAAACTAAAAGATAAGTGACAAGTTGGATCAATTAGATTTATGAAGAATAATATTTTAAATTCCTATAGAAATAAATTATATTTTCAGATTATCTGAATTGGAAAAAAAACCTGTCTGTCATTGACCAGATGGGAAGTTATCATGTTGTAATATACACCAGTTCTTGGCTCTTAAAGCATCTTGCAAATTGAAATGTACAATGGTGTGACTCACTTACAGGAAAAATAAAATATAGCAGACATTCCCTACAGCCATGAAGCTAGCACCAATAAATGCACTGAGAAGTTTTCTAACGTGCATATGGAGAGACATATGTTCTCTCATCCTCATAGCTCAGGACTAGTGAAAATAAGACTAGCCTCATAAAAAGTGACAAAAGGTGAAGTATATATAAATATCATACATATAAATGTCCTGTTTTGTACAGTAGAAGGAAAACCCTCCAACTTTGATTTGCAAATGTAAATGAGACAAAATGAGGCAAAAAATGAATCACAATTAGCAATGAAGCAATCACAATTAGTAACTAAATAAATTTATCTGAATAAATAAATAAATAAGATTATTATCACCAAATGATCATTAAGGAACTGTAATATAAATTATCAGTAATTCTTTAGTTTGATAACCAACCATATTATTTTGGTTTCAGGAAATGGGAAGGGAAGGGAAGGGAAGGGAAGGGAAGGGAAGGGAAGGGAAGGGAAGGGAAGGGAAGGGAAGGGAAGGNAGGGAAGGGAAGGGAAGGGAAGGGAAGGGAAGGGAAGGGAAGGGAAGGGAAGGGAAGGGAAGGGAAGGGAAGGGAAGGAAAGGGAAGGGAAGGGAAAGTTCAATGAACTTAGCAATTAATGTTATAATGCTATAAGATGTTATAATGTTAGAAGATGTTATAAGACAAGTAGATATGCTAATTCATGGTAACAACTTTGACACTCTTGTTGGAGTCAAATTGATAAAATTAAACAAAATGTAGTCATTTTCAGCAATGAAAAATAACATAGGAAATCAAGTTACATAGTAAACAAATTAATTGCAGGAACTACCAAAATTTTGCTTTGAAATAGCAAGCTTAGGAAGTCTAAATTCTAGATAGCTAAATGTATGACAGGTTAGAGTTGTCATTTAAAAATTAGGTGGCCACATTTGAGAGGTAAACAAAGGCCTTTGCTTCAATTTTGTTAGAGAAAGTGGACATAATAGACATAATACGTAAAATCGGAAAACAACCCATGAATAATTAGTGTGCTCTGAAATACAATTTTCTGCAATATTTAAATATAATGTTTATTTATAATGTTCTAAAGGCAGGGGATAAATGATGGGAAAAAAGGTTTCATTAACAGAGAGTATAAAATCAATGAAGAAAACTAGAACACCTCAGAATTACTCATTAGATATAGAGTCCTTCACTTTTTTTTTTTAAATAAGCAGCTGAAAAGTGTGTTGTTAAAAAGGAATATTAAGTATTTTACCAATATAATTCACTCATTATCACCAGGACAGTATGCAAGGCTCTCTCTATATATGGATTTTTCTCACAAAGGTACACTAATTGTATCTTCTCAGAGATGTACTTTCTTTTGTACTTCACATTTTCCTGTTTGTTGTCCAAGAAGTTGTGTACTTTAGTACCCTTCTTCCACAGAAAATAAGTGCATACTACATAGCTCTGGAATAGTTTTCTGCTATTTATTCATATCTATCTTAATTCCGTCTCTGAAAAGATAATCATGTCAGACTGAAACAGTACCAGAATTTCCTTTACATACTGTTACACAGTATAGGATACTCACTTGTGAAATCATCATCCAAAACTCATACTTCACAGTATAATTTAAATTTTGAGATCTGGCCTTGCATGAGGACATCAAAAAATTTATTGTATTTTCTACAATGAATACTTAATGAAGCATAAATCTTCCAGAAATGGATGACTAGATTCCTTTCTAACACAGTCATTCGCTCTACTGTATCCCTCCTTCTCCTTTCTCTCCAACCACGCATAACTTAAAAATCACTGACAAAGTTCCTTGAAGCTTGATAAACACACATGATCTTTCACACTTTATAAGAACTTAAATTATTATTTCAAGCAGGACACATTCTGAATTCAGCAGTTATTCAACTCTGTTTGGCATGTAGTCAGCAAACCACATGATTCTGATGCAGTCACACCATATATTGTCTCTGGTTCAGCAGATATCAGAGGCACTAGGGAAGGAGAGAACAGGACTGATGACACCTAGTTAGGAGTGGAGCCTATGGAGAGAAATCAGCATGTTTTGTGTAGTATGGGGCAAAATTATAGGGAAGATATTTTCATACACAAAGTAAAAGATACTATGTGTACAAGGAAAGAGGTAATAAATCCCAAGCATATCAGTCATCCATAGGTCACCATTCATTTGATAACGTACTCCTCCAAAAGATAAAAATACTTTATTGGAAAACACATCTCACAAAACATCTCACAAAAGCAGCTTTTCATAAAAATGGAGAGTGAAGACCTTTCAGGAAATAACTTTAAAAATGAGGAGAGGGAGGTAAAGGCGTTAGGAGAGGATCTACACTGGTGTGGGAGTGCTTCAGTTTCAAAATTAGAAAGCAAACAACAGCACAGCTGGTAGCATCTATCTCCTATGTCACTTGTCATTATATGCAGTGACACAGACAAGTAAAGCTTTTGCTTCTAATCATTCAAAAATCTCCAAGAAATTCAACTACAATTAAGCAGCATGTTGTTCAATGAGTTATTTATGTAGCAAATATTTTTTTAAACTACAATCCTAAAAGAAAGGCATACATTCTTTATCTCCCCTTTAATTACAAGTCCTTCAAAACAGCAACTGTGCTGAGTTTCTGTATTATCAAGAACTATATATTCTTTAATTAAAGCCAGAAAATTTTACAGGTAATTCATATATCAAACACAATTAATAAACTAGCAAAATACAGTGCTTTCAGTGCAACTTTTCTTCAGACTCTCAAAGATTAGAGAAATCTGTAATTAATTAAAAAATTATTCTATGATTTTAAAAATAAGAGTATTAATTAGACATTTATTCAGATATGCTCTTCAAAATGTAACAATATTTGACTAATACTGACTATCTGGTGATCCTTTTACAAGACTCAACTTTTGATACTCACTTCAGAAAGAAAAGACAGGATGACGGTATGCAAAATAACCAGTGTAATGGATGATAAAAGACTTCTGAAAAATCTTGAGGAAGATGTTCATCAGAATTATCCAGAAATGTCCTGGAAGAAATCAAATACTTCCAAATTACATAGGAGCTGGAAAATCCCCTTGGATCACTACTAAGTATGTATATATGAATAGAAGACACAAAACACCTTATGATAAATACTATTAATATATGTATGCAAACACATAATTGCAAATCTATGTACTGTAAAAAATATAATTATATATTTTTATTCACTTTCACTCTTTGAAACTCAGTATCTAATAACTGTTATTCAAGTTCTCTTCATATTTTTTTCCTATATAATACATTTTCAAACTATGTTTGAATAAGCAAATTCAATAAGTAAATTTATCTTCAGTTACTCATTTCTATAGCTCTCTTCTTTCTGCATAACAAAATTACATAGTATTTTCAACACTTCTATAATAATGATATGTAAAGTATCTTTTGAAATTATACTGACTGACACACAAGCATATATAGACTTTGGATTAAACTGGACAAAAATTTGAACTAGAAGCTTTGGACCTTCACTGGCTTGAGAGAAATGGAATACTGGTTATTTTCAAGTATAAAGGACTGGAGAAGAACTAGATTGTGACTAGATGTCAATTTTGCAGTACTTCACTTAAATTATGTGAGAGGCAAAACCTACAGATACTAAAAATTAAATATTTTATTAATTAATTAAATGATGGAATTACAGATTTATGGTGTAACAGGTTTCTATATTTACTATTTGACTTTAATTATTGTTTAGTAATAAATTATTAGTATTTGTATAACTTTCTAGTAGCCAATAGGATTCAATAATGTGAGATAGTATTGGATGCCCTGTGGCCTCTTCCCTTTTTATTCTCATTTACACTGCCTACAATTCCAGCAGAGAGGCATTCCAGCCTCTATTAAATATATGAAATATAAACAATTATTACTTCACAAGCATCTTACTTTTCATCTTACTTGGCTGTGAATTTTTTATCTTTCATCTGAAGTAATTCAGAATTATAGCCACATGTCTATTAGATGAAAGGAGAGAATTATCCTTTTTCAACAAAAAAGGTAGCTGTATATTTCCTGAATGTCTCCAAAAGATAGGCTGTTTTATTTGGAAACCATTCTTACTAATTAAAAAAAAAATGAAATAATTTAATACAGATCTTAAGTTAAAAAAATCTGAGCAGAAGGATTAGCACAGTCTATTTGTGCTCTTTGTGAATTCATGAAAACCTGAAGATTAAAAATAAAGCTGAGATTTTAATGTAGCCAAAAGAAGAATGCAAACTTGAAAAGAATTATTTTAAGGACAGTAATTTCAATATTGTGAAAGCAAAAAACAAACCTTATTGTCTCTCATCCACTGAAATATTGTTTTCTGAATATAGCAAAGTATAGAGCAAACATCCTCCACAGAAGTGTGATAACTACATTTTGGTTAGTAATCTAATTTAAAAAAAGAGGACCGTATCTTGTGTATTGGTTGTGTAGGAACTGTTTGACAGCATTCTGGTCTAAAGCAGCTTGTTAAGTATGACTTCTTAGCTGTATCCTAAGGAGAAACACAGGGCAGATTTTTGGATTCTGACTTACTTGCTTATACCAAAATCTCTACAGAAATTTTTAAAGTGAGACAGAAATAATCTGATGGTTTTAAAGATTATTTAAATATTAGAATAGCTTCAAATACATTAAAAAATCAAGTGTCTGATGATAATACAGTAATTCTCATGACAGCATTTCTTAATGTTCACTGCTGGCTAGGTAATTCTTGCTATGAAAGCCCAACTCTGTGCCAGATTGTTGAACTCTACTCTTCTGACAGAAATATAATAATAGGTAGTAGGGCATTTGTTTTTGTTTCAAGTTATGCTAAACCAGCTGCCTAGTATCTCAAAGCACTGGACAGCTGATTTAATAACAAAGCAAGATTTCAAGTTACAGTTGGTTTTATTCGTCAATAGAGAATGACAAGGTGAGAACTGATCCTGTAAGCCTGAGTGCAGGTGTGAAGAAATGAGATGCCAGCAAGATGAATCCAAACAGTATTTATTTGTAGTGTTTGTATGATTTCTCTCTGTATAAGGAATAAACATTACTAAAAAGCAACTTCATGAGTTATAACTCATACTAAAGAGAAATGTTTTCACTGTTTAATATTGAATAACATTGAATTTACAACAATATAGATCAATTTTGCCAATAGACTCTCTATATGCTTCTCTCAACATTTAAATAACTTACCCAACTTCTTGTTGAGAAAATAAGATCCAACAATTCATACTATGAAATCACTAAAGGGTGTATCCACTTTACTCTTTATATTCTTCTTTACAAGACTTATCATTGCCTACTCAGTACAAAAGGCTAAAGAATATCAAAACAGGCACAAAATAGATCTGCACCAAACTGACCAACCCTGAATCTGAGGCAGAACACAGTCTCTACTTTGAGGCCGAGATAATTTATTCCTCTACAAACTTATGAGTAAAGAATGGCATTGGACTCTCCTGTGCATTCACAGGCAGTACTGAAACTGTATGATCCACTACATGAAACCCCAGCTACTGAGTAACTGACAACAATCTTGTTGAAAGTAAAACAATGATGATTGCAAATTCATAATTATGAGAATCTTCCTATTTCAGAGGCTTGAGAAAGCAGCAAGAAAATAGCAACACTCAATAGATTTGAGGAGCACATTCTAGAGACTCATTGTTCAACAGGTCCTCAACAATGCCGACAAAAGCTGATAGAGAACACTTGCTTAGCAGATTTTCAGGTGACACTAAACTGGGGGAAGCAGATACAGTAATTAACGCAACAAACAGCTGAGTGCCTACTCATGGAAGACTGGCCACCAGAAATTCACAAAACTGACTGAGGCAAAGAGCAACTGTTTACTTCAACTACAGAATTACAACAACCTAGGCTGGGAACTGACTTGCCTGAGTGCCACGCTACCCAATCATAAGCCTGGGGTTTATGGTCAGCAGGGCGCTGAAGAAAAGGCAACAGTGTATTATCACTAGAAAAAATACAAGCCACACACTGGGCTGTATTAGAAGGAACACAGCAACTAAAACAAAGATTATTTCATCTGCTTGGCAACAATTTAAGCCTTACCTAGACTATTTCGTCCAGCTGTTGGGGCTACAAGAAGAACGTGAGGAAACTGGAGAAGACTAGACTAAACTGAATAGTCTGTAAAAAAATGTTTGAAGGCCCTAGACTCCTTTACCGTGGTGAAGAGCTGGCTAAAGTGTCAATTTATGTAATGATAGTCTACAACCACCAAAACAGTGATTACACTGACCCATTTTCTCAGTGGGGCTGATGTGATACAGTAAATTATAGCCAGCAGCTTTGAGGGCTCACACTAGATACAAGGCAACATTTTGCACTAAGGCATCACAGCTGTGGAGCAGGCTTCACAAAAAGTTGTAAAACTTCAGCTCCTGGAGGTTGGCATGTGTCAGTTGAGCCAGCCAAACACAGTCATGTTTGACTGCTCTTGCTGATTGCTCTGCTTTGAGGAGGAGGCTAGATTAGAAAACCTCTATCAGTCCTTTCCAACCAACATTTCCATTATGCTAAAGATACTTCAGAAAGCCACAGAAGGGTGGAGAAAACTGAAGCACAGAAAAACAAGTATTAAACCCTGATGGCCCAAGATTCATAGCTGAATTATGGACCAGATCTAAGTAATCTTGTCATATAGAAAAGGAAGTCTAGATCACAAAATTAGGAATGGGAAAATAGTCACCTTATCTGAAGTCAAGGATATTACTAATTTTTCACCATCATTATGGTTTTGTTCAATTTCCACAAAATAATCAAGAGATTTAAACGATTTTAGTTCACTTAAGCAATAGAGAGTACAGCCTCTCTAGTAAGTTGGAAATGAGGCAGTCATAATATTATACAATTTCTAGAAAACAATGTTTCATCATTGCCACTTTTATGATTACACAGAATTTTCCTGAAAAGTCTAAAGATTAATTGACTTCTAATCACTTAAGGAAAAACTTCCAGTACAAAAAGACAGCATGACAGATTTAAAAGAAAAGATTTCACTTCCAGTTAAGTTTACCAAATGTGTGAAAGATATAGAGCCAAGACAACAGATGGAAATTATGATTATACAATATACTTGCAGAAAAAATTGATGAAAGATTAATATTCCTTAAAAGTCAGGTGTAACTTTTGAATTTATTATTGATAGATTCTTAATGTAATGAACTATGCATACCCCAGTAAACAATACACCTAGGTACTTCACCTAAAATTCACTATATCAAGGTGTTTCCAATTGAATATAATTGGAAGCTGATTGGCTAAACCATTTTCTTCTTTGTTCTCTGGACAGTGGGTCAGGTTAACTGACAAATATTGTCTGCAATATATAAAAAAATAGTTTCAATAATGGCGCCTCACAGATTGTGAAAATACAATTTCTAAATAGAAGTTCTTTTAAAAAAATCCTATTTTATTTACTGTAAAACATACATTGTCTATATGGAAATGGTCTTCAGTGTTATTAATTTTTGTAACTCTATGTAACAAAATAAGGCAATATTTTGTGTTGTCTTTAGACAAAGCTGCCATATTTTGGTGGTGATTTGCACAGTACTTTGTAGTAAATTCAATGAGCTGCTACATTTGGCACATGTCAAGGTTTTGTTCTCCAGATCAGCAAATTCAGGTAATGAAATTCACGTCCCTAACTCTGAAAGCTATATGATCAAGTTTTTTACCTGCAGCATTTTACATAAAATAAAAAGCAAGCTCTTCATTGGCACTTTGTTCTGAAACTCCGTGAGTTCTACAGCAAGCACACATTTTTTATCATGCTATATATATATATATATATATATATATATATATATATATATATATATAAATATGTAAACAACATTGATGAGGAGGAGACTAGAATCACTTTAAGAGACAAATTATACAGCATATTTACTTTGGTCTACCGTTTTATGGGCTTTCATAAAGGAAAGATGAAATGTCAAAACTGACAGTAAAAGCAGTTACAGGTACTCCAAGGTCCTTTCCTCCCTCCATTTCTACTGCCATAATAGGACTAACTATTCTGTTCCTGAGTCACTTTCTAAATTGCTATTTATTCATAAGCCTTTGTTATATAAGATCAAACAACCAGTTACGATTCATTTTTGCATGTTCTTTAGAGCACACAAATATTAAAATGAGCCCACAGCCCACACATAACTAAAAAAAAAAATTGTTAAAGAAGTTTGTATGTAGGAAGTCTCCACCCTAGTACTACCTAGAATTTTCTTATTTTGAATAATTAAGCAAAAGCCAGTCAAATAGGATATGACTTCATTAGTTGGGGTTTTGTTGTTCCTATTTTTAAAATTTGTGGTCCCACTTTGTATTGTCTCTTACACCAAATTTACAGATTAATTTTATTAACAAAGACTCAGACCCAATTTCAGTGCAAGTTACATGTCTATTTTTTACAGTTGTGACTTGTGAAAACATGATTTTATAAATATGGACATTCTACATTCTTACATTTTTAACGACATTTATTGCAGCATACTGGTTGTATAACCAGATGATCATTTTAGTAAATTACCTTTCCATTCCTATACCTCTAGAAACATTATCAGAGGACAACAGAACCTTCTGATTTAGCTGAAAGCCTGAAGCAGATAAATCTTAACTAGTAAGATGATTTCTTTTAAACTGATGAATGACTAAGTCCTTTACACCCTTGCCAAAGTATTTGGTACCATAGTAGTAAATGTTTTCAGATCAATAAGACCATATTTAAAAAGAAGTATGTCCTAACTGAAAAAATACCTTGCAAATTTGGGTCAGTAATAATTAATACAATTCTACTGGCTGTCCACAGAGGAAATCAACCCAGATATTCACTGTGGTCTACATTATTAACAGAAAAAAAAATGCACGGCACTGAAGTTTGATCTAAAGCTAATAAAATCTCAGCAGATATAACTGGGCTTTAGATAAGATCACAAAAAATAAGTATAGGATCAAACTGAGAAATAGACAAAGATTATTAAAATGTGACAATACTATGGATTACATTTGATTACAACACAAAAATTCATCTTTGTAAATCTATCCATATGAGCTCAAGAACCACTTTATCTCAAATTAAATGTTTATTTCATACTCACTCATACAAATTCTTCAGTGGCGAAGTTAAAATAGCCAGCACAGAGATCAGACTATTGCAGTGGCTATGTATTTTATAGATCTTGAGATTTCTGTCTTTGTCTGGATTCAGAAACTCCTGCACAGAACTACAAATTGACCAGATCATATCTTCAGTGGACATCAAAATTGCTGCAATATCAATTCTGTAGGCAAAAACAGCCCAAGAATAACATTTACTTAAGATACCTTGATAGTGGTAAATTCCAATTAAACAGACATTTCTTCTGACAGGATAAACACCAAAATCATAACATGGACTTTAAATTTCCTCTTCAGTGATGCAGGAAATCTCCACCCACTACTCTGTAAAAATCAACCGTTTCACAGAGGAGTTGTTATTGAAACTAGTAAAAAGAAGACTTAAAAATTTGGAAATGTCCTTTCTCAAAGGACACTGTCACTAGGCATGTACAATTTACATTCTAAACTACAAGTTAATACATATAAATTTTGTTTTCTTATAATTAAAATGTATATACTATTTTCAAATCCTGGGGCAAAAAATAGGAACAAAGTAACTTAATCCTCAATTTGCAAAACTACCTCCATGCAACACTGTACAATGTAGAACATTTCTGAGTCAGTAATCTATTGCCTGTTGATAGTGGCTAGCAGAGCACCATATATCATTGGCCTGAACAACAGCAAGAACCCAATCTACAACAACATAATCTCACTAAACTATGCTGACACACAATATGCAGGAAAGATGTGAATAACACAAAAAATATGGGAGGTATGAAGTTGGACTTTAAAAACTACTTAAGTACCTAAAAGCCATGGATACACTTGTGATCATATGCATTTTTAAGGATCATGATATTTTTGAAAAATCTAGGCAAACACACATAAGCAGACGTTTATACATCTCTTATACACCACTTATACATCAGTTCTCTGCCATTTGAAGAACTATTGGGAGAAAATATACCCTCACAAACTACAACAATATTAAAAAACCATGTTAAGATTCTGTGATAAAAATATATTGAATTAAATTGAATATTTTTTTTCATTTATTCATAAGTGGATAGATCAATTTACTTAGTGAAAAATTCAAGAATCACCCTAACGAATATACAACTTTTCTATAAAATGACAATGTAAAAATTCTTTCTTGTTCAATAATTTGAAGTAAATTCATGTAGAATTGACTAATACGATATTTAAGTAATATTGTATTTTTCATATTTCAGGGAACTTTTTCCCAAAAAAAAAAATTTCCAGGCAAGTTTTCAGAAAACCTCTCTGTACCAAAAGATACAGAGGAGCCTGATTACAGCAAGTTATTGCAGGAACAGAGCGCACAAATATGTACGTAGAATAAAATTTCACTTTTTTCCTACCCATTTCAAGAGGGTCATCTTGTGCAAGTTACTTGAGCTTTCATGACAATAGTCCTTTTCATAATAAAACTTGAGATGACAGCACATAACTCTTAGGTCACACAGAACATGGACCTGGTAAGTGTCTCTAACCCTCTAAAATCACAAACTCTTTAACTCTTCTAGGTGGTGCTGTGCAGTAAGACTAAAGGCAATGGTCAGAAAATATGCAGAGGAAGTTCCACCTGAATATGAGGAAGAACTTCCTTACTGTGTGGGTGACCAAGCTGGAACAGAGTGCCCAGAGAGGTTGTGGATTGCTCCTCACTGGAGACATCTAAGAGGACTGTCTGGACTTGGCCTTGTGCTATGTAATCTGGGATAACTCTGCTTGAGCAGGGAGGTTGGACCAGATGACCCACTGTGGTCTCTTCCATCCTCACCCATTCTGTAATTCTCCATGATTCTGTTAGGATAAATGCACCTGTTTATTCAGTAAAACAAGATATTGGATAGAAAGGATAAAGATAGGATTAACTTCCACTTGAAGACACCTGTTTTAGTATTTCTCAGAAAGACTGTACTCACTGGTGAAACATAAGAACTGCAACAAGAAAAACTTCCAATTTCTTATTTTCTAAAATGACAGCAAAAGGAATAGCCTCTTTCTCCTCTCTCTTTCTACACCACTGGCATCATTCTGACAAATGTTTTGATGTGACCTTGTAGCTCTTTCACTTGCAAAACTCTATAAAAACACAAATTCTACAGAAACTCATTAAATTTTCTTAATGAATCCTGATATGGTCAAGTCTGTCCACATTTTTGTTGCATTACCAATCCTCTGTGAACTTTCATTGTGAGGCTTTTAAACCAATCAAGCAGTTTATGGAACAATTTCACAGAGTTGAAAGAGGCCTTTGATTCTGCCCAGTTTGCAATATAAATACAAAATATACTTAAATATACAAAATAAATTTTATTAAAACAAATATCAAAATGCATAGATTTAGTCTATCCCCTTTGTCATGTTCATTAACATTGAAATTTGAATCAAAGCAGTGAGTAACAGAAAACTAACATTTACTTCTTTCATCCATCAAAACGGTGCATTAAATATACAACCATTACCTGATTTGTGGTGTTCTTTTGTAACTGGGACACACCTGACAATATCTGGAGGACAGAATATCCAAAGATTGCTCTAGTACATCTGTAAGAATCTCCTGGGCTGTCTTTGGAGGTAGAATAGTCCATAGATCATGATGAAGAGCACAACAGAAGTAATGCCACATCTGGACAGAGAATGAGCATCTTTCCCCCTATCAAAACCACCACACATTACATAACAAAAACACACCTTCCAAAATGGCAATTTAACTCCTATAGGTCTAATTAATTAAATCTGAAAGGAAATAGCTAAAGACTTCCAGGAATATGATGGCAAAAAATGGTGCTTGAAAAGATGTGAGACATCTTTATTTGCAAGGAAACACATGTTGCATTTCAGTCACAAAATTACAATTCTGCCACAAAATAAAACCACAATATTTGAAATCTTATATCTTCAATTAACCTATTCTCAAAATCCATAGTGTTGTAAGTTTAGTTTAAAAACATAGACAGTATTCTATACACAGTAGAATAGTCAGATAAACTTAACATAGTAGTTTCTTTGTCTGCGAAGAAAATAATTATTTAAATTACTTAAGCATGTGTATTTACCCAGATGCAGAAATGCTATGCATGACCACAACTGTAAAACCTTGGTAATATATAATAGATATTATATATAATAGATATGTGAGAAGAGAAGAACTAAACTATTAAACTGACAATAGGAGATATTCAGATTGTTTTAGTAAGATATTTTTTTCTCTTTTAATTTGAATATATTGAAACCAAACATTTGGTTTCAAGGAAGCATCATGGCAAGGAAGCATTATTGGCATTGATATTTCATTGTCTAAACAGATATATCCCATCAAGACACAGAAAAAAATACACAGGAGTCAAAATCACAGCATTTATTCCATAATATTTCTAAAAAGTATCCAGGAAATATGTTTCACATTTAAATATTTTAACTAATGTCTATTCAGCAAATAGCATTATCATGAAGCTTTTTGAAAACAGAGACTTCATTTTTCAGTTCCCACATCCCAAAGGAACTGAGAAATATTTTAAGAATTTGTTGCTATTTTATCATTATTAGAAATATAAAATAACCCCACAATTTTTAAAATGCTTTTAGAATTTGAAAGTAAAAAATAATCTACCTTCTTTTTATATATATTAGCATGAGCGTTAGCAGATTATTGGAAGTTGTCACTATTTGGTTTTCCTCTGACATATTTGAAGTGCATTTTGTATTAAAAAGTGGCAAAAATTATGACAAAGAACAAAATAAACAAGCTTGTTGAAAAGTTTTACTTTTTAACTTTGCAATTATAAACACAAATTGTTTCCCTTTCTTTGCTTTGGTTTATTTAACTAATAGCTCTTTTCCCCTTTTTTAGTATTGTGCCTCCACTGCAGAAGCAACAATCTCTCTGAAGGTTTAAATGAGATCCACTCCCCTTTTCTGACCTGTATTTGTATTTGTTGCCGTTTGTGGACAATTCCACCAATAAACATCTACTACTTTTCAGGCTTCATGTAATAAAACAAGATGCGAGCTTTTATTTAGCTTACATGTGAGGAAACAAGTAGCTGTGTTTTATTACATATGCCACTCTGTATTATCTCTGGGCAATTCTTTATTCTTTGACTGCTAGAAAACATAAGTTCCCACAGCTACAGCAGATGTCTGCTACACTAAGAGCTTCATTCAAAAACATAATCTGGAGAGCTGGCCCAGTGGTGCACTCTTCCTGCTGGGCACATACATTGGAAGAAGGCACCTCTCACTGCTGGAAGTTTAGGCAGGGAATTGCCTCTGTAACAAGCAATAGATCTTAATCCAATCTCTTCCATTTAACATGCCTACAAGAGATCAACTGAAGCAACATCTGCTCTGCAGCATGCCTCCTGAAGGAACTCAGAGCAGATCATGTTCAAACCTTGGGCCATCTCCCATGGCCCAGTAAAAACAGGAGTGATGATGTAAAATTGCATATTTTTCACCTAAAATCCTGTAAACATACAGAGCTGCGACACCAGTTTTCCTCATTCATTCTTACATACATCAGTTCTGTTCAGTAATGATAAAACTGTTTAGCTACTTCATATTTTTTGTCAGACAACTGTTTCTCCATTGTAAAGTTACTGGGTCACCAATAAACAGGACACAGCACCACAGGCACTACAGACAATGAAGATCATACAGTGATTCAGTTGTTGCCAAAAGCCACTGCCTTTCTTACCTTATAATCTATAATTCAAACAAAATTGAAATGTTTATTTACTTGTCTTTGAGGGATGGAAATTTTGATAATTTATTCTATGATCTGTATGCCCTGTCTAGCAAAGATTTTGTCACTGACTGAGGAGCCTCTTATATGATATCAGAACGAATTTTCTCTCATGTAAGAATTCTAGAAAATGCTTGACAGAACACAGTCTCACACAGAAAATTTGGACTTTGTCTCCAAGAGATCTCAGTTATTCTTGATTAAAAACGCATATAATACTTCACCCTGCAATTAAGTGAAAATAATTTCAAATTGTGTATGTCAACCTATGTTTGTATTTAACTAGGATGAAGGAAAAAATCCAATAAATGAAAATAATTATCTTAATTTTTTTTCATAGAATCATTAGGATTATAGCTATAGATCAGACCCATGACTGGGTGATGCAGGTGAAATGGCACTGGTTATTTCAGAAATACATTACCAAATGCTTTAGCTAACTATATTGACAACCTTTCTTTGTTTCGCCCTTTAGACACAAAAAGTAAAAGGGGAACCAACTGAAAATAAAAATCAAATAATCAGATAAAAAATTTCCCAGAAAAAGATCTTCATATGTCACACTTTCTAAAATAAGTGTAAAGTTCTTAGAGATTAAGGTGATGGTGTCCTCTTTACTGAGTTCTATATAAATGCCTTGACACACAATAAATATTTTATGAAGTAAATGATAAAAACAGGGTAACAATCTATCTCATATTTAAATGACTCTGTTTTCCCGCATCATTTTTAAATAGACACTTGCCTGCAATAATAGATATTTCAAAATAGCACATCCCAATAATCCTTATGTAAAAACAATGCTGATCTCATGCTTTCGATTAGTCAGTGAGCTGGCAAACACAAAAACACATTTTGTAAAAGGAAGCCATAGTAAACTTAACCTCATACCTCGTAAAAAGCTTTGCAGTCATCCCAGCAGTGGCTCTCAGCATCCTGTAAAATGCTTGTAGCACAAACTCTGATGCAGTAGTTCGTAACTTGAAACTGGAGAATGTTGATGAATTTCTGACATTTTTGGATAGGCATGAGGAACAGGGGTCTGTTCAGAAAGAATGATGAAAAAGACAGTGATTGAAAGGCTCTGTGCACTAGGAGGTAACAATCACTAGTACTGCAAATAGTTTTTTTAAGTAGGTATCAATCATTCACTTCCTTTTGGTCTTGAACCTAGCATTCAGTTTTGTAACTTTTTGTTTCAAAAGTTCTCAAAATATGTCTGCTTGTCTACAAATTCTAATTTAACCAATCACTGAGAAATAAAATACTTCACCCTATTTTATGAGATAAATATATTCGACATTCAGTCATTTGGAGTTTTTAATTCCAGCATTCTTGCATCAGCAATTATTACATCAGCAGTGAGTGAAAAAAAGCAGATAAGCACAGAGTACAGAGATTGCTTTTGTTAGGCATGTACTAAAACTCTTTGATAATACACCTAATTAGAGTTATTGAGCAGTATTTTAGGTCAGACTTCCACTCACAGAGATACAATTCATGCAGGAGAGAGTAAAAAGTAAAACATCAGAGGGAAAGCAGCTCAACAGTGCATATAATGACTTAGAAATCATACATTTCTTAAAAATTGTGCTACTTTAGGGTCTCTCCCCAAAAACACTGTTTCTACTTTTAAAATGCACGTGACTGGAAATATATGGACCAATAGACTCCTAGAACCTTAAGACAAAATCTCCTATAAGTAAGTGCATTTGTATGTCCCTGCAGGTCAAACACTGCCTTTGACTTTACACTCCTACTTAATATCTGCTTTAATTTTTATTCTGCATGTAATAATAATGTATGTATTGTAATTGTATTAGTTACTTTACATGTCTGAATATACATGGTGCTAGGAAAAGGCGCAGAAATGTATTTTTATATTGCCCTCTATTATTGCTATGTCCTGAACCAGATCTTATGAAAATTAGGCATTGCAAAGGTCAGAAAAGGAAATAGAGGCCCTACACTTTATTTATATGACAGCAAAGTACATTCAGTTCCCTGTACAATCTTACAATCTTGCTTTCTCAAATTTAATAATTAAAAAAAAAAAGATCTGTAAATCAAATACAGATCCTACACATAAAAATAATTTGTTTTGCAATGTCTGCTGTGGACTATCAGGTTGATTCAGGTATTTCCATAAAACAGTACACATACTGAATGTGCTAAAAAATATGATGCAATTTGCAAAACTACCACCATGTTGTACCACCAAAATAGAATGAAGTCCCATATTATTTACATTTTAATTAAACATTTTACGTAAAAAACCCATACTTTTTGCTTGTTTCTCTCATTAAACTTCTATACATTGTAAAATGCTGAAAGACATATATCGCCGTGGAAAGGGCACCACACAGGTCTTGCAGGGGAGCCTTCAAGGGAACGTCTCTGCTCTTCTCCTCTAGTCTTGCTAGAACATCTGTTGCCACTTTGCTGCAGGCCTCTACAAAGTTTGCTCTAATTTCCTGAAGAGAATCATCTCGGCAGGCCAGAGCCAATGGAAGCAATGTGTCAAGTTCTTCCATGATGTCAGAACAAAACTGAGAGAAATAAATGTGGTACCAAGTTATTTGTATTCTAGAGCAATGCTTAATTTATACACGCTATATATATTGAATAATGAAATTGGCATGAAACATAAATATATTGACTCAGTTTTACAAACATTTTAATCTCTTAAACAGAGGAAGAACATTTTTTAAAGTAAATTAAATATTCTTTCATTCCTTTCTCCTTCAAAGCCGCGCATTCGATACTAGGGGAAAAATTAAAACCATCATATGCTGGTAATGTATTAATTTGGTTTTGATGTCACTAAATGTAAATTCAAAGCTCAATGCTAATTCCTTGTAAATAATGATGATTTTCTAAACAACTTAATTTTGAAAAATACATAAACACATTTCTTAACACTGAATTTGGAAACAAACGTGTTATCTCTTAATAAAGTCATACATTAATCTCCCTAAAATTACCTCCCCAAAGATCATGTGTTATTTCAAACCAGCATTCATTAACAGCATTCTAAATCTGCTAGCAGAGTTGCAGATCTTACTAGAGAAAGTCTTTCAAACTATCTTTCCTTACAAAAGAAATTTAGTTAATAAATGACCTTTCAGCCAAATCAAATAACTCAAAATTGGCTTTCTAACAGGTTATGCTAATTAATTGAATGGCATGTCTAATGATACGAATACAGGAAAACCCTCTATAGCCATATTTCACAGCTTTCAACATTTTCCCATCTAACCACTTGGTAACAAAGCAAACACTAATCAGAATGCTTTAGAACTTTTAGGCTGAAGAAAAAATGCCAGTGAAGTTTTAAAGGTAATACTTTCAAGTACAAACTAGGGGCTATTGTATATAGCTCTATTCAGCTTCACATTGTAATGCCTCTCACTTTCTTCTTAATTCCATTTATATAAGATATAGAATCTTAATAGTACTGTAAGTACTTCAAAGTGTAGATGGCAAACAGCCTTGCCATTCTGTCTCACTTCAAACTTCAGATCTTTTGATACCTGCCTTAGCAATTTGTTTTGGTTGCTCCTCCTGTTGGACTGCTCTGCAGGACTCCTTCATTTGCTGGTTGTTTACAAGACTCATTGTACAGCCTGCAGCTGAAAACTCTTCTTTCTGCTCATGTTGAAGAATTTTAGATGAAAAATCCTCAATTGCTATTGTTATACAGTGAGCCACAGAAGAAGACAGGTCTTTAAATGCATTTCTCCAGCCAAAACTCAGTAAAATAGGCTGAAACACATATTAAAATTAAATCAATCCAAAGTCATTATTGAGTGTTAATAGTGTCTGAAAATTAAATGCCTATCCATAATTAAATTATAGGCCATTATCACAATTTGAAATTATTTTAAAAATTTAAAATATAGTCCACTAGTGTTGAAATCATACTAAAAGCAGTATTTACACTCAACAAAATGCATAGCAACATTAAACATGTCATCAAATTTTTTAGGAAAAAAGAATTACTGTTTAAACAAGACAGCTTTTATAGAAACATGCTTCATCTTTACCTAATTTTTAATCTTTAAAAGACTCTGTTTTAAAAAGTCAAAGAATTCATAGGTATTTTCAATAGTATAACAAGTCGTCTAGCACTGTATACTCTATAATAATTTTCACTGCAAGTTAACATGGTTACTGACCATGAATCTCAATGGAAAACACTGAAGAGGAGCTGTTTTTAACACACCCACACTGTATTTCACTTCTCTAGAACTGGATTTAGAAAACATTAAAATGTTTAAACAGAGATGTGTAGTTTTAGACTAATGCTGGCTTTTCCTGTGGTTTACACCAGTTCCTTGCCTTCTTTAAGCAGACACTTCTGAAATAATAAATAATCTGAAGTGTAATAGTTGCCAGAAGTAGACACAGCAGAACATCATTCCTTTTCGACTTATCTGACTTTGCATTGTTCTTATGACTTATATCAGACTTAAACCTTTCCAGAAGTGGCCATTTGAGAATTGCACCACTGTAAGAGACACATTTTAATGATGTAAGATGATGTTCAGTAAATATCTCCACCATGAAGGCAGAGTTGGAGAACAGAAAAGAGAGATTCCTAACTATTCCTCCAGCTATAATATTAAATCAGAAGAGAATGAAGGGCTACAAAGTGAAACCCTTCCAGTTTACTTCAATTTAAAAGTTGTATCCTCCTTCCTTTCCCTTTCCCCACTAGCAACATCTGGCTCTTGTAAGCACAGGGACAGCCTCCATGGACACACAATTTTGCACTCCTTCATTTTTTTTGATGGGGATCAAGTACATCCCAATCTACCTAAAAAAAAAAAATTCTTCTTTGTAATACATATTAGTATTAGTTTCACACACCAATCCAAAGTACTTTTTTAAAAAAATTCAGCATTAAAATCAAGCTATTAAGAAATTAAATTCTACTATCATAAAGTATAAGGTGGTTGGAGCATTTATGTGACACAAAATCAACAATAAAAATGTGTTTTGTAGTAAATGGGAGCCAGATAAAAACAATCTTGTACATACATTCTACAAAGTACAGTGCTTATTACACAGTAGTTTGTTGGCACCAGAGAAACTAGACATTATATGAGTATCTATACCTTTAGGAAGAACCATTATGATCAAATTCTAAGAACTTCATAAATATTCTTCAAGGTTCTTGGAAATTATATGTATAATACTGAGAAAGCTATCATATTTAAGTAATTTTTTCCCATTTTGTTATGAGGTATCTTATAATTACATTTTTTCTGTTAATAATTACTAAATACCAACAACTTCTTTGAATGACCTAAGATTTTATTCCAGCTAAACTGAAACTTTGCACATAGAAGTAATCACAGAAGCTGAAGTAATGAAACTATGGCAATAGGTGTTTATAATGAACATGGTGAAAGCCTACACTGGAGACACACAAAAAAGAAAATCCAATACGAAGTGTAAGACTCTTTTCATACTCACCTCTTCTACCTGAAGTAACTGTTCAGGAAGCACGCTGGTTTCATTTGCACTAGTTTCTCCTATTAAAAGCTCCCCACTAGCTCTCTTCAGAACTCCTGCACAGTATGACAAAAGAGATCAAAGTTTAGATTAATTCTGTAGAAAAGTCAGCAGCCTAAAACATCTTATATACCACTATGAAGGACAAAAAAAACCTCAAGAAGATGTAGGGGAATACAAATGTTATAATAAAGTCAAATTCAAGTTATTATATACAGTTTATTTTATATAACATGATGAAATCAACATCTGGTGGTACTTGTATTTTATACAAATGCACATATAATGTGTAAAACATGGTTTCTTCTGTCATTAATGCATTTTTATACTGATTGTGAAGTCATCTCAATGACAATGGATAACACTAGATCAGCTATATATAAATTTATTTCTCCTCTTTGTTCAAAGAATTATATCAACTGAGCACTAATACATTTTTACAGACTTTACTTATTTGGAAACATGAATACAATAAGAATAAAAGGACAGTTAATTAGTATAGACATTATAATCAAAATGATCACTTATGACCACAAAGTACAAGAGAAACTCCTTAAGAAGGGCTGGTACAAAGCTCACTCATAAATCTTAAGAGTAATGGGATACTGCCCCAGTTTTGTCAACGACAAACCAGTATCTGGGATTGATATTACTTTTATCAGTGTTTCAAGAAATCTGGGTTCCTGAAATGTACTGATGATTCTTCTTGCAAGTGATACAAGCACAAATGGAGGTGCTTGTTGGGAATTTGAAAATCAAGGCAGCCTTGGCTGCAGTGACCATGAGATAGTGGAGTTCCAGACCCTGAGAGCACAAAGGAGAGTGAAAAGCAAGACCACACCCAGCCCCAGGCTTCAGAAGAGAAGACTTTTGCCTCTTCAAGTATCTGCTTCGAACAGTCCCATGGGTAAGGTAATGGGACACAGGAAATTTGATTAATATTCAGGTATCACCTCTGCTAATCTCATGAGAACTGGAAAAAAAATGGCAGAAGGCCTGCATGCATGAACAAGAAGATCCTAGCCAAACTCAAACACAAAATGAAACATAAGGAGTGTGGAAGTAAGGATGGGTAACTTGGGAGGACACATAAATTACTTCTGAACATGAAGAAAGTTAAGGAAGCTAATGCTCAAATTTGGCCAGGGATGTCAAAGACAACAAGAAGGGCTTCTGTAAGTACACCAGTGATAAATGGAAGACTAGAGAAAACATGAGCCTATTGCTCAACAAGGTAGGGGACTTGGTAACATAGATATGGAAAAAGTTGAGACTATGAATGCCTTCTTCAACTCAGTATTTTCTATAAAGATGAACCTTCAGGAATCCCAGATACCAGAGACCAGAAGGAAAGGCTGGAACAAGGAAGATGTACTCTAGGTGTAAGAGGATCAGGTCTGAGAATAACTAAGCAAACTCAACATATTGAAATCCTTGGGCCCTCATGGGTTGCAGCTGCAAGTGTGGAAGGAGATGGCAGATATTGTCGCAAGGCCACTCTCAATAATTTTTGATCAATCATGGCAACTGCGAGAAGAAAGCAAATGTCACTCTTATTTTCAAAAATGGCAAGAGGAAGAGCTCAGGGAACAAATCTTGTCAACCTCACTACAACCCCAAGGAAGGTAATAGAGGCATTTCCAGGTGCATTACAAAGAATTTATCAGGACCATTCAGCATGGATTCAGTAACAGGAAGTCATACTTGACCAACTTGATATAAGTTCTATGAAGAAATTATTGGCCTGGTAGATGAGGGGATAGCAGTGGATGTTTTCTACATGGACTTCAATAAAGCCCATGGCATCGTCTCCCTTAAGATCTCATTACAGGACAAGATGTAGGCAAGATGCGTGCACTGGACAAATTGTCAGTAAGCTAATTGAAAAATGGCTGAATAGCCAAGCCCCAAATACAGTGATCTGTGGCACAATGTCTAGTTTGAGGCCAGTAATTAGCAATCTATCCCAGGAGTCAATACTAGGTCCAATTCTGTTTAACATCTTCATTAATGATCTGGATGATAACGTACAGTTTACCCTCTGTTGCCCTGTTCTTTTAAAAGTTTAAGTTCTTTTAAAAATTCTCTATGCCTTCTGATGTTTACATATTTATACTAGAGTTCTCATGCCTGTTCATGTAAATAATTGATTGTTTTGGAGAATTGATAGACTGTTGGTTTAACCAGTGTGGTTGGAAAGATGGCAATTCCATCCTCCAATCCACTGTCACTTTTGGAATTCTATATATTGCAAAGTCAGAAATAAAGTTCCTTCCTTTTCCTCTTTTGATCGTGAGTAAGTGGGTGAATAATTTTGTGTCATAGTGTGACAACCCTCAGCAAGTCTGCAGCTGACATCAAACAGGGTGGCAGATGGTCATGGTGCCAATCCAGAAGGACCTTAAGAGATTGGAGAAACAGGCAGACTAGAACCTCATAAAGTCCAAGAAGCAAAGTTGTGCACTGGGGAGGAACAAACCCAGGTATCAACCCATATTTGTGTTCTCACAGCTGGTGAGAAGCTTTGCATAAAAGGACCTGGGGGTCCAGAAGTACACAAAGTTGAACATAAGCCAGTAAAAAGGCTGATGGTATTTGCTCTGGATCAGAAAAAGCATTATAAGCAGGTTAAAGGAAATGATTCTTCCTGTCTGCTCAACAGTGATGAGCCACACCTGGAATGGTGTGTAAAGTTCTAGGTTAATCAATACAAGACAGACATGAACATACTGGAGAGTGTCTAATAAAGGGCCGTGGAAGATGACAAAGGGAATGGAGGACAGGCTGAGAGCACTGGACTGTCAGCCAAGAGAAGAGAAGCATAAGGGCAGGATATATTACTAATGTATATAAATACCTGAAAGGCAGGTCCAAAGAGACCGGAAACAGTTTTTCATAATGACAGGACCAGTGGTCACAGGCAAAAAGAGATGCAAAGCTGGAGGTTTCCTCTGAACATCAGGAAATGCTTTTTTTACTGTGAAGATGTACAAGCACTGTAAGGTTGTCCCAAGAGGTTATGGAACCTCCATCCATGAAGATACTCAAAAACTATCTGGACATAATTGTGGGCAATTGGTTCTAGAGGCCTTGCTTGAGCAGGGATTCTTGGACAATGTGAATACCAAAGGCTCCTCCCAACCTCAACCATTTTGTGATTCTGTGAGTCACAAAGAGATACAAGAATAACACCAAATGATGCGTATTTTAAAAAACTTGTCTTGCAGCATAAAGCTGGTAAACAATACTGGTGCAGATATTCCTAAAGTAATGTACTTCTTATGAAATTAAAAGAGGTTTTAAATTACCAGGTGCTGCCAAAGATTATCTATTGTCAAAGCTTATCTTCCAGGCATAACCTTACAGGTCTTCAGAGGGATCTGAAGCTACTAGTAGTAAATGCCCAAGGTTTAAAGAGCTTTTCTCTATGAAATTTCAAGCATTGGATATACTTTATACAAAGTAGATTTAACCTTTCCCTTAGTTGATTTGCATTCTGAAAATACACACTGTTTTTCATACACTTACATAACATTGTAGAACTTTGAAGTTTTTATGGGGTTTTTTGTTTGTTTTGGGGTTTTTTTGTACAATTGTTTTTTTTTTTCCCCAAATACCTTTTTGCATTTACAAAAGACATTGACAGATCTAAGCCGGGAAAAAAAGAAAGACAAACTGGGAGAACATAAAACCAAAATATATTAGCCAGGCCATCCAACTCATCATTATAGCCAGTACCAGAAACTTCCTGGGTTTTTTTTCAGCATGTTTTAATGTATTTTATGATACCGTTTCTAACAGTTTTCTTTAGAAATTAGTCCAGACTTAAAAAACCCAACTAATAGTCTAAGTGACTGGATATTTCCCCTATTTTCTATTCTGTGCTTTCTACCTTAAATTTACCTTTTTTTCCTATCAATTCCCATTTTTATAGATATAAAATCAAATTTTAACTATAACCACAAGTAAGTTTCTATATATTCACATTCTTGTATTATTGTCATTAAGATCTGCTATTTATAACTTTTTATATCAAGACTTCAAAGAAAACATTTAAGCTAAAATCCTTGTGTATTCACAGCATTGCTGCCTTACTTGTTGAGAACTCACAGCTGAGATAAATAGGTATCTAGCTTATGGTAGATTTGTGACTCCAGGACCACAGACAAGGAGCCAAATGATGCTTACACCCACATCAGTCATTTAACAGGCTCCTTCATTATTAAATTAACATATTCTACTACATTATCCCATCTACTTTTCTAATTAACAATCTGGACACTCCTGCTTTATTCTCATATGCATCTGTTTGTGCATGTAGGCTTACACACATTAAAAATTTCACTGGTCTTCTCAAAGAAGCCCCATGTTCAAGTCTCCTATATTTTATTGACTCCCTTTGGATTCTCAGAGTTTTGCTTTCTCCAAATATCATCTGGGTATGGATGGCTAAGGCCACCTTCTTCTTCAATTTAACCTCCAACTAGCAAGAGTTGCCTTCCCACTTTGCACTGAACACTGTACACTGAGCCATAGCCTCCATAGAGCCTCCACTCTTCAGATCCTACTACAACCTTGCTCTCAAACACTATTTCCACAGAGACAGAAAACAAATTATACCCTTCATATCCTGCAACTGCTTCACTTGTGTGAGAGACTGGAAGGAATGCTTGTCCAAAATGTTCTGGGGGTATGTGTGAGGCAAAGAGGCAGGTCAGGCCTTCTTCTGGTGAGGCAGAACATTGTTACATATGCTTCACCCCCCAGAGCCTGTATCCCAGCCCCACATTGACCCCCCAACCCCTGGCACATTGCAGGCAATGCTCCACTCCCTGCCCCTGGAGCCCCAGTTCAGCCCCAGAGTGGACAGCTGACTGGAACTTCCATCTTGGGAAGGGCCCAGGAAACACAAAGGGTATTTAACCTGAGACACAAGGTCAGCACATCTTCACCCTACCTCCTCTTGGAAACTATGAGCTGAACACAGCTGGAACCAGGAGTGGTAATCATGTTTTTCTTTTCTATCTTTTCTGCCCTCCTCTCTTTTGTCTTTTAA